TTTGCGATCATCGACGGCGTCCGCAGTGGCGAGTTGCGTCCGTCCGTGAGCGCTGACTGTGCGCCGTGGTACAAGGCGCTGGCTGACGACTGCTTGTCGTTTGATCCGAAGCAACGTCCAACAGCCCAGACGATCATCGACCGTTTGTTGCTGCAGGAAAAGGCTCTTGCTGGTCGAGAACCGGTCGCAGCGCCCGAGACCAAGACCGAGCGTCTGATGACGCCGCCACAACTGACCAAGGGCATGAGCAGCAGCTCGTCCACCTCGGTACGAAGGGCCCAGTTTTGGCTTGAATGTGTGTCGAGCAAATCTGCGGATCTAGTCGACGTCGTCGTCCTGGTCGTCGGGAGCTCTCACGAGTCGTCTGCCGTGCCGGATGTGCAAGACGCGCAACGCAGCGTTGAACCAACACTGCAGCAGCTGCAACGAGGCCATGCCTGACGAGTCGACCAAGCTCGCGCTCTTGCTCAAGCGCGCCAAGGTGGCCAACGCCAAGGGTTTCTCGATCAACCTGTGCATCGACTGCGACATTTGCGAGACGACCAACGTCATGACGGCGGCGACGTGTATCGATCCCGAGTGCGGCGAGGAGCTTCTGGACGACGCCGAGAAGCTGCGTATTCTTACCCGTCGCTTTGACCTTGCGACCAGCTCGGCGTGAGCTTCAGTGTCCAGAGGTCGAGCGCGATGCTGCGTGCATATTGTTAACCTGCGTAAACCATGCCTTCGTTCTTAGCACTCTTCCTTGAGATAATGCTTTTTACTTCAAGTCTACTCGCAGTTCACCAGACGACGATACTCTCAGGCTGGGATTTCGCCTCCGACGCACTTGGAGCGTAACTCGGCAGCATCCTGCACGACGACCAACATGTGTGAGCTCCAAGGCCGACGCGTACAAGACGCACTCTCGCTCAGCATCTCTCTCGACAAGCACGAGAGCACGCACGGACCCTGGGCTGCTCGTGCTCATCGAAACCTTGGGAGACCACAAACATCCGCGAAGCAACGAGGTCATACCAGGCGTTGGTGAACACTCTCGTTCTAGAGTGCCACGTCATTGTAAGTGCAATCTCAGAAGGCACTTGGGAGCTCAAGAAATGCTACTCCACGTCGGCGTGCGCGGCTCATGACGATAATTGAGCGTGGTCGAAAATTGTTTATAGCGTATGCCGCGAATAAAATCGGCAAACTGCCACATTTAACGACGCCGATGCACCTTCCAGGATGATCGTGTTGGAAATAATGTATCAACTTGACACCGGGATAAACTGTACTGTTGAGATTACGGCATGCCACTCCTTGTCGGGGTGCGAGGTACACGTGACTATAGTGCGGAACCAACTACTAAACTACTAGTACATGCATTTTTTGTCCCAAATTTTAGCAGTAGGAATGAAAGCACAGCGGCAACCAACGCAATTTCCACTTAATGCTGGACGGCTGTACACGATCGTCCAACGACAAAGTACAAAATGGAGGTCAAAACTGCGCTCGCATGAATTCAAAATTCATTAGAGTTGCTTCTCGGTGTAGTAGAGGCCATCAGTCGCCCGCGTCCGCACTTGCGCCTTATACACCTCGCCGGCCAAAATGCCATCGACCGCCGACGCAGCGTCCGTCACGATGCGCCACGCGTTGTACTGCCCCCGACGCAGCTCCACAACCACCTCAAAGATCGGCTCACCACCACGCTGCGCCAAGAGCTTCCGCAGCGGACCGTTGTCATCCTTCGTTTGCTTCTCCTTGGCCAATGCGTCGCCGACCGTCACCGACTCGACGCCGCCCACAAGACCTCGCAGCGGCTTGTTCTTGAGCAACTTCCGGAGGTCGCCGTGCGCCGAGGCTACGATGCGCACGCCACGCTGCTTGCACGTACGCGCGGCCTCGACTTCGTTCGGGCGACCAATCTCGTCAATAACCATAACCTCGGGCGTGTGGTTCTGGACGCACTCGACCATCACAGCGGCTTGGTCGTCGAGCGACGGCACCATCATGCGCCGCGCCAGGCCCACGCACGGATGCGGAATGTCGCCATCACCTTCGGAACAAAACGTGGTTAGGGTTCTTCTTCTCCACCAGCACGAGATAAAGAGTAGTATACCTGCAATCTCGTTGCTCGTGTCGACGATGCAGACGTTGTACTTGGTGGCGAGCTGCCGAGAGACTTCGCGGACGATGGTGGTTTTGCCGCAGCCTGGTTCGCCGAGGAAGAGAATGTTCTTGTCTTCCATTGCCAGAAGATCCGCGATCAAGCCCGCGTTGCCTTCAATGTACCGGCCGACGCGAATCGTAAGGGCGATGATCCTGTCTTGGCGGTTGCGAATCGCCGAGATACGGTGCAGTTGTCGCTCGAGGCCGGCGCGGTTGTCGCTGCCAAAGCCGCCGACGCGCTCCACGATCGAATCGAGGTCGTCTCTCGTGACGACGCGGTCGTGGTTACTCGGATCGAGAAAGAAACGCGCGCCGTTGACCCACGCCCACGGTCGGCGTCCGAGGTCCAAGACAATGTCCAGTAGCTTGGCGCTGACCTCTGGTTGGAGCAGTGGCGCCGCGAGGTCAGGTGGCAATAACCCCAAAATGTCGTCCAAGTCTTCGTGGATCACCACTGGCGCACTCGAAACAACATCGTGGGGTCGCCACGCCTGGAGGTACTCGGTCGAGACGAGTCGCTGATTCTGCTGCGCGTCAAAGCACAGCGACCGCTGACCATCGCAAGCAATGGCCTGATGGATTCGCTGGTTGGAGGCGGTCATGAGCGGCGATATGTTGTCAAAAATGGCCTTGGCGAGCACGTCTGAGGCTTGAAGCAGCAGCTGCACCGTCGCCGCCGCGGCTTGCGTGGCTTCTGGTAGCAGTGGGCGGTGGTTCAAAAAGTCGGGGCGGTCGAGGTACCGCGGGTGCGGGTGCGCAGGCAGTCCGACGACCGAGAGCATCTCGGCAAACGAGACGCTGAAGCGCGACGTCTGGTGCTCGAGGAGGAGCTCCAAGTCAATGACAGAGGCGAGCCGATTCTCGCCGACGGCCGAGAAGAGAGCTGCAAACGGGTGTGCGTTGTAGACGATCTTGGTAACACTGGGCGACTGGAGCGCCGGACTCAGCGCATGCGCCAACGCAGTCGCTGGGATCTGGGCGCAGTCGAGAACCAGCGTATGACCCGTAAAGGCCAGGACAAGGAGTGCATGCGGCAGTGTGCCATACGCATAGAGCGTCATGACCCGCGCCTGTGTCGGGTTGTGCAAAATGCCATGGGCCGTGATCGCGTCATGCAGTTGATGGACCGTGGAAATGAAATGGGTAGTCGCCGGTGCTTGCGGGTCGGGCGTCGTGAGAGTCTGGAGAGGAGTGGCACTCTCCTCCGCGTCGTTGCTATCGTCGTCGCTGCTCTCATCGCTGCTAGAATCAGCGCCAGAGCTGGATCGGCTCCCTAGTCGAAATAAGCCAGCGGTTCCTAGTAACTCGAAAGGTCGTACGGAACGACGTGGCCGACGACGGGCTCTTCCACGTAGCATTGGCCTTGGGCGAGGGCAATGCAGGAGGGGTGCCACCGGCGCGGACAAAGCACGGACGCGTCGGGTCGGCGTCCGAGTAGGTCAGTTTCGGGTGGCGGCGAAGCGACTGCACGATCGCAGCGACGACCGCATCCAAGTCCACGTCGTCCGGCAGCGTCGGGCGTACTTGGCCGCGAATGTACGACGTGTAGAACGCATTGTCCGAGGCCACCCACTCGAGGATGGCGTCGACGTACTCGGACGCGTGCGCGGCGACGTAGGGCTGCAGGGTCGGGTCCAGCTTCGTTATCGCCGGAAGCTTGGTCGTCGTTGGTGCTCTCTTGGTCGTCGAAGGGGGGGCGGGAGGCGGCGTGTTTGGCTCGCGCAAAGCGCAAAACGAGACCCGGCCGCCAACAACCGAGCTCGTGACTTCCGGGTGGCGCTTGAGCGTATCGAGGATGCCCGCGAGGACCGCTTTCGCGCTCACGTGCGACGGGACGCGCAGCTGCCCGAGAATGTCGGCTTCGGTAAACGCCTTGCCCTTCTTCGTCGTTGAGACCATCGCTGTGAGGTAGTAGGGCGTCACTTGGTCGACAATGTTGTGGACACTGACGGTCGCGTCGCCCGACGCGCTGCGCCGACCAAAGCACACGTTGGCGAGGTAGCTCGGGCGGTGGCGGAAGCGGGGGTCTTGCACAAGAGCCGGCAGAATGTGGCTTTTGACCACGGCGCGCGGGAGCGTAAAGGGCAGTTTAATCTTCCACGAGTAGACGACGGCGTGGCCGCAGCCTTCGTCGTGGGTCTGCAGCCAGCGTTCCATGGCGTGGGCGTACGCCTCGATGGCGGTCGCAAGGTTGGCGTCCGTCAAGCCCGACGTATTCGGCTGGGACTCTACCGAGTGTGAGACGACGCTGCCAGCGACAGGACAGTTGACGTACCAGGAATCGCCCGTGGCGGCGTGGACGCCAGCGGCAGTCGCGGCGCCGGAATCGCTGCGAGTGGCTTCATAAAGAAAGGCTCAGGGAGCGAGTCGACGTACTGCAGCCGCGCGTCACGCCGTACGACAGTGACGACGGCAAGCACGAGCGCATCGACGCTGATCGCCCCCGAGGCCATGGGCGAGAGTACCGTTCGCAATTGCGAGACGTAGAACGGCTTGTCGTCGAGGACGCTGGCGAGCACTTGCGGTAATAAGAGCGCGCCCAGCTGCGCGGCCATTGCAGCCTCCGCGGGTGGCACCTCGGGCTCCTCACAGCGCGGCGACGACACGATCGTGGTCTTGCCAGCAACGACTTGCTGCTGGAGGCGCGGATCGCGGCCGAGCGCGACAACAATGGCGGCGACGACCGCGTCGCACGGTGCGAGCGGCGCCATCGCTTGGACCTGCGACCGAATGCTGTCTTCGGTGACGTAGCCGCCAGCGCCCGTAATGTCGAGCACCGCGGGCTTGAACTGCTCTTCGTACTGCGCGACGCACTTCTGGACAACGACCGACGTGACTGAGGACAAAGGCTGGCTCGCGACGCTGGACGTGCTTGGCGTGCTACTGCGGGGCTTGGGCGCGGCCTTGCAGCACCAGTGGCCGCCGACAGTGCCAGCCGAGACGACCGCAGGATGGCGCTTGAGCGCATGGACGATACGGCTCGCGGCCTTCTTGAGGTCAAAGTTGGGTGACGGCGCGACGAGCGTTGAATGCACGTTGGACGAGTTGTAGACTCTGCCGCCGGACGTCGCTGCCAGCATGCGCGCAGTGTACACGAGGATCTGGTCGTTCACATACGTCGTCATCGACACGCTCGGCGGGCGAGAGCGCGAGGCCAGCGCCGCTTCCCAAGAGCCGCCATAGTCGTCCATCGTCGACTGGCAGCAGTTGTCTTTGACACGAATGAATCACGGCGCGACGACGCCGGTTTGTCCCAAACCGGTTTATTATGCAACCGGTTGGCATTTGATCCGGTTAGAAAGAGCAATATGGACATTTCCTAGCTTTGGCATCGACGGTGCGAGATGATGGTGATGCTGGTATAGGTGCTGGAGACTGGGCCAGGAGGCTGGATATGGTCGCGTAGGAACCAACCGATTCGATCTCCTTCTAGGTTCAAGTGGGCGGAGGAGCGAGCGCAAGCGGCCCAAATCATCGCCAATGGTCGTGCCGCTGCCTTCCTGATACGACCGTTAGAGCCAAGGGCCATGATTCCTTTGATTGGAGTCATTAGCACCTGGCGTCGATGCGTGTTGCGAATAGTAAGCAGCCATGCCACCTTGACGAGAAGGTGCCGAGGTGGAGCTGACTGGTGCGGGTCATGGGGCGTCGACAGCGTCGCCTCCGACTGTCGTGCTCGCCAACGTTGGTGGTCCATCCGCGCTCTCTTGCAGCCAATAGGACGGTCGTAGCTCGCTCGGGTAGTCCTTGATCGCACCAAGCGTCAAGCTGCCATCCATGCGTCAGCACTGCTCGACCGCCACTGCCAGAGGTTAGCCGTTCGATGCATTTGGCTTCCTTGCAAGCACCTACTTCTGTGGGGCTCGACGGCGATGGCTCGAGGTTCAGGCAGTAGTGGGTCTGCACTTGATGCAGCTCCGTATCAATGCGTGGATGCAGGTCGTTGAAAAACGCGTTTAATCCCACTGCAACCAATCGCGTTTTATTCCATCTTTCGTGACGTGGGGAGCAGCATGGCAAGCTTCCGACCGGGCGCGCCGGGCTACGGGTCGACTGCTGGGAGCGTCTCCATGTCGGCCTTCGTCAAGGACAAGAGCCTCGCGTACGTCGAGCGCATGCTTGCGGTCACGGCGCGGGGCGGCGTCTACTACTCGAACGACGTGCAGGCGACGCTCGCGATCCCGAGCCATCTGGATGCGACCAAGGTCTGCAGCCGCGTGATCCATGCACTCAAGCGCGAGCCCAACGTGGTGGCCACCGAGACGTCCGAGGGCAACTGGCGCTTTGAGGGCCCCCACACCTCAATGGACCGTCCGATCGTCACGGCCGACGCAGTCAAGACGCTCTACGACGCGATCCTGCTCGAGCACAGCGTGAGCGTGAGCCTCCTCGTGCGCAACTCGGCCAAGTACCCGCTCTCGAACCTGCGGAACCGCTTGCACAAGACGGGGTATCTCTCGACCGACGCCATTGCAACCGCCATCGACATCATCCTCGATACGGTGCTTCGACACGACACGAGCATCCGCTTGATCAACAACGACATGCTCATCTCGACCGACAAGACGCAAGACGAGCAGCCGCAGCAAAACGACGACGACGACGACGAGCTCCCGACTGAACGCGATGCTTTGGTGGCCGTGCTCGCCCACCGACTCGCAAGAAAGGCCATCTACTCGCGCCGGTCGGTCGGCCTCGTCGAGCAGCAGCTCCTCGTGCACAAGCTACCCGATACGGGTATGCGACGCCGCGTCGTGCAGCGACTGCAAGCGATCGGGTGCTTTCTCTTTGTCGGCGACAACGACGCGACCGCCATCGTGACGCTGGACCCGGACTGCCTCTCCCGCCCAATTCAAGCGTTTGGCGACCTTAGCTTTCTGCGGCGGACGTGTGCCATGTGGCCAGCCGTCAGTAACGGTGTCACCAAGGTCGTGGCACGACCCCCGCCCGTGTCTGTCCCCGCTTCGACGGCAACAACGCCGAAAAGTAGTGCATATTCGTCGGCGTCAGGACTGACGCCCGATCAAGTGCATGCTGCCGTCGAAGCCTACATCTTTGCCGCGCAGCAGTGGCTGGATGCCCATGCCGAGGCGTGTCCGTCCGCCCACGTCTACTCGTGGAAGGTCGGGCTGACGTTTCCAGTGCCACTCAGTGTCATGAAGTCCATCGTGGTCCCGGCCCTCGTGACAGACCCGCGCCTGCGCTACCGTCCGAGCTACCTCACGCTCTACTGCTTTGGCCCGCAAGCGGACGCCATCTCGGACGACGCACCCGCGACGCTCGATGACGTCATGGACCAAGTCGTGCCGCATTTCCGGACGCGCATGCTGGCCATGACGCGGAAAGGCGAGATGTACGGCGCCGCAGACGTCATTGGGTCACTGCGTGTGCCACCGCATCTCACCAAGGACTCGGCCGTCAACTGCGTCCTCGACGCGCTTGCTCGGCACCCCGATGTCACGTGGCGCGCTGGCGACACGCTCAGCCACTCGGGTTTTGTCTCGAGCGAGAGCCAAGCCAAGCCAGCGACGCCGGTCGTTGTACCGCCACTCGTCGCGTCGCAGTGGGTCATCACACCGTCGATGCCGTCGTCGCCAGTGTCCCCGTCGCCGCCGCGCCCCACGAGCTCGCTCACGGTCGACACGCGGCCACGGACACTCTACGATGCGCTGCTCATCGAGCACAGCGTCCGCGTCGTCGAGCTCGTGCATGCGGCGGCCGGCCACGCGTACTTGCTCGAGCACGTGGCGAGTCGCTTGGCGCGCACGTCGTACATTCCGCCGGCGTCGGCGCAGGACGCGCTCGAGACCGTCGTCAGCATGGTGCTCCGGCTGGACCCGAGTCTGCGCGTGCTCGAGTCGGGTGACGGTCCTTGCTTGGCGCTGAAGGCCTCGGTGTCGCGGGTCGTGGCCGACATGGACGCGTCGCTACCGAGTGAGCTCAGCGCCGTCATGGACGTTGTCGCGCGGCGGTTTGCGCGGCGAATTGCGTATGCGCCGATGCGTTTGGTGTCGATGGCGATGCAGCTCACGCAGTGGGGCGTCAGCAACGTCGCGGACGTGCTCGTCGGTGTCCAGGCGCGGCTGCAGTCGGTCGGGTGCTTTGCATCGGCGGTCGTCGGCCCGGACGTCGTCACGGCCATCGACCATGCGTGCTTGCTGCGGCCGGCGAGTGAGTTTGGTGCGCTCGTGTTTCTCCGGCGCGAGCCTCGCTTCACGTCGTCCAGTGACGTCACGTCGCCTTTGACAAAGCCACCACCTGGCATGATCCTCTCGCCGATCAAGCCGACGATCGAGGCGTCCGTGTCTCTGCCGCCCGCCCTCGCGTCCAACTCGCTTTTGGATCTGCTGCTCGATTGGCATGCGATCACGCTCGGGGACGCCGTGCACGCGCAGGGCGAACCGATGGCCGTCACCCGCGTCCACCGGCACCTCGAACGCGCGGGGTACATTGCGCCGGACCTGCTGCCACGAGCCATCTCGGTCGTCCTCGCGCAGTTTGCGTCGGACCCGAGCCTCGCGTTGGAGGGCGATGGTGACGACATGGTTGTCATGCCGATGGGCGACCGCCGTCTGTGGAGTGCGCCGCGGTCAACGCCGTGTGATGGCCCGAGCATGGTGCACGCAACTGTGATTGAGTTTATCGAGCTCATCGTCAAGGCGCCGTTGGACTACGTCGCCATGGCGCGCGTCGTCAAGGAGAAGCCGCGCTTTGGCTACTCGACGAGCAAGACGATGAAGCTTGTGCAGCAAGCGCTCTTTGAGACCGACTGCTTTCAAGTACTCAAGACGGGCGAGAAGGCGCTCGTGACGATCGCGCCGTGGGCCCTCATGCGCAAAGCGAGTGTGCTCGTCAAGCACGCGCTCCTTGCGGACTTGCTTGCTCGCTGGTTCTCTCCGCCATCGAATGGCGACCGTCCTCTGGACGATGCTGCTCCGATTATCGACGGCCGCATCGAGACTTCGACGGCCGCGGTGGTTGACCGATGGGCCGTCGACGGCCCAACGACCGATGCAAATGCACTCGAGGCGTACGTGGCGGCGGCGCTGAATTGGCTGTCGACGCATGACGAAGCGTGTGGCGAAGCCGTCATTTACGACCTCAAGCTCGAGTACCCGGTCTTGCCTGGCGTGATCAAGACGCAGATCCTTCCTGCACTCAAGCGCGACCCGCGATTGCAAAGCCGCCCAAGCTACCTCGCCGGCTTTTGCTTTGGGCCGCGCAGCAATAGCAACACGAGCGCGCCGCTCTTGACGCAGGTGCTGACGCAGGTGCTGCCGCACATCAAGCGGTCGATGCTCGCGACGATCGAGAAAGGACGGCCGTTCCACGAGTCGGACGTGCGCGGGCTGCTGCGCCCGCCAGCGACGCTGTCGCTCGACGTTGTCGTGCAGCATGTGCTTGGCGCGCTCCAACAAGAGCCCAACGTTCGCTTTACGCTCAAGAGCGACACGGGGCGTCTGGTGTTTTTCAGTCGCCAGGACGACGACGAGAACGACGACGACGACGATGACGAGGACGACGATGATGATGAAGAGGAAGCGGGCGACGATGACGTAGACGATGAGAACGATGCCGTCCACGCGGCCGATAGTGTCTCAGTGACGTCGATGGCCGAGAGCTCAGCGACGGTGGATGACGCCAGCATGTGGAACATCCGAGCGATCGAAGCGCTCGTGTCTCCAAAGAGCGAGGTGGCGAGCGACGATGCGCTCGTGGCGCTGCACCACGAGACCTTTTTGGCGTCGATCCTTACGTCCGTGGCGTCCGGCGACGTGTTTTACGCGTCGTCCGTCTCGTATCAAGTGCGTGCGCTCGTGGACGACGACAGCGCGGCCGAGATGGCCGTGGACGCGGTCCTTGCGTCGCTGCGGCTGCACCCTCAACTGCGCTACTGCGACAACGACGACGGCCACGGTCCGTGCTTTGTGTCGGCGACACGCCCGCCGACGCCACCGCCACCGATGATCGATCCGTCGACGGTCCAGAAACACGTCGCGGCGCTGAGCCAACGCATGGAGCACGCACTGCTAACGACGATGCGCTTTGACGTGGGCTTTGTGCCTGGCGTTGGCGACTACACCAGCAGCGACCTCGCGCGTCTCGTGGTCGCCGAGGTCGCCAAAGACCCGCGCTTTGTACTGCGCACGACAAACGAACGCCAACCGTACTTTGAAAAGTCGAGTGCGTCGCTCCGCACGCCAGTGTCGCCGCCGCGGAAGCCCGATCCGCACGCCCGGCCGGCGGCCATTCCGGTGGAGCCAGTCGCCTTGACGCCGCCGGTACCTGCGCACGTGGACGACACACCGCGACTGGCAAACGTCGAGTTTCACGGGTCGGTCGCCGTGATCAAGACGGCGGTGCAGCTGCGCGACGTCGTGGCCGCGCACGCGATCTTGCGCGAGCCGTGGCTACCCGGTCGTATCGCGCTTGCCATCCACGGCAACGGGTCTGCACTCTTGTTGGCGATTGCCTGGGGAACCGAAGCACTTATCGTCGACTGCGAGAGCACCCGCGTCGATGTCGTTGCGACGCTACTGCAGCCCGTGCTCCTCTCGCCCAGTGTCTGCAAGGTCGTATACGGCTCGCATATGCAAGCCAGCGCCTTGGTGCGATTGGCCAACAGTCCGATCGCCTCACTCATTGACTTGGAGCTCCTCCTCGAGCACCAGACGTCGCGCTTCAGCGTCTCGTTTGCCGAGATGCTCTCCGTCGTCGGACTGCCTGCGCACCCGCACCCGCGGTACCTCGACCGCCCCGACTTTTTGAACCACCGCCCGCTGCTTCCAGAAGCCACGCAAGCCGCGGCGGCGACGGTGCAGCTGCTGCTTCAAGCCTCAGACGTGCTCGCCAAGGCCATTTTTGACAACATATCGCCGCTCATGACCGCCTCCAACCAGAGAATCCATCAGGCCATTGCTTGCGATGGTCAGCGGTCGCTGTGCTTTGACGCGCAGCAGAATCAGCGACTCGTCTCGACCGAGTACCTCCAGGCGTGGCGACCCCACGATGTTGTTTCGAGTCCGCCAGTGGTGATCCACGAAGACTTGGACGACATTTTGGGGCTATTGCCACCTGACCTCGCGGCGCCACTGCTCCAACCAGAGGTCAGCGCCAAGCTACTGGACATTGTCTTGGACATCGGACGCCGACCGTGGGCGTGGGTCAACGGCGCACGTTTCTTCCTCGATCCGAATAACCACGACCGCGTCGTCACGAGAGACGACCTCGATTCGATCGTGGAGCGCGTCGGCGGCTTTGGCAGCGACAACCGCGCCGGCCTCGAGCGACAACTGCACCGTATCTCGGCGATTCGCAACCGCCAAGACAGGATCATCGCCCTGACGATTCGCGTCGGCCGGTACATTGAAGGCAACGCGGGCTTGATCGCGGATCTTCTGGCAATGGAAGACAAAAACATTCTCTTCCTCGGCGAACCGGGCTGCGGCAAAACCACCATCGTCCGCGAAGTCTCTCGGCAGCTCGCCACCAAGTACAACGTGTGCATCGTCGACACGAGCAACGAGATTGCAGGTATACGACTCTCTATCTCGTGCTGGTAGAGAAGAAGAACCCTAACCACGTTTTGTTCCGAAGGTGATGGCGACATTCCGCATCCGTGCGTGGGCCTGGCGCGGCGCATGATGGTGCCGTCGCTCGACGACCAAGCCGCTGTGATGGTCGAGTGCGTCCAGAACCACACGCCCGAGGTCATGGTCATTGACGAGATTGGTCGCCCGAACGAAGTCGAGGCCGCGCGTACGTGCAAGCAGCGTGGCGTGCGCATCGTAGCCTCGGCGCACGGCGACCTCCGGAAGTTGCTCAAGAACAAGCCGCTGCGAGGTCTTGTGGGCGGCGTCGAGTCGGTGACGGTCGGCGACGCACTCGCCAAGGAGAAGCAAAAGAAGGACGACAACGGGCCGCTGCGAAAGCTCTTGGCGCAGCGTGGTGGTGAGCCGATCTTTGAAGTGGTTGTGGAGCTGCGTCGGGGGCAGTACAACGCGTGGCGCATCGTGACGGACGCTGCGTCGGCGGTCGATGGCATTTTGGCCGGCGAGGCGTACAAGGCGCAAGTGAGGACGCGGGCTCTGTACGGCGGCGTGGGCTTTGGGTACGATGTCGAGTCGATCTAAACTCGGAGACCTAAACCTAGCATTTTGATAACAACGTCGATGTGATGCGCTCTGGAGTCTATGTGGGCATAGTCTAGTTTAGTAAACCTAGTAGGCACTAGCAATCCTGTCGCATAGTCTCAACTTGCCTTCTGTCGTGTCCTGTCAATGACTCCATATAGCCGTTGTACACCATTTCCGTGAGTAAACACTATTCACGGCGAATTGCCACCTCGTTGTCCAGTCGCAAGAGTTCAACGGAGCGCGATGGCCCCACGCCGCCTCCTCGACGCGCTGCTCGAAGACCACGCCGCTCGGCTGGCGACGCTCATCCACGCGCAGGCGCCAGAGCAGTACGCAGTCGCCAAGCTGCGCAAGAAGCTCGTCAAAAAGTCCCAGACGCTGCCGCCGGCGCAGCGCGACGCCGCCGTCGCTACCGTCGTCAACCTTCTCGTGCAAGACCCGCACATCACGCTCGTCGCCAAGCGCCAGCTCGTTTCGTCCGGCGCAGCAGCGTCCGCACCAGAGGAAGCGCTGCCGGTGCTCCACCACCTCGCACGCCAAGTGGCGTCGCACCCTGTCAGCCTGGCGACAATTCAGGGCCACATAGAAAAGGCCACCGCGACAGCGACCGTGCAAGAGCTCGTGGATGCGCTGCTCCACCTCGGATGCTTTCGCCAAGGCAAGAACGGCAAGGGCGCCGACGCGATCCTGTACGACGAAGCCGCGCTGCTGCGGCCCGTCACGGACTTTGCCGATGTGAGTTTTTTGCGGTCGTATGCCCATGCATCGGTGGCCAATGAGCCGGAGAAGCCAAAGAAGGTCAAGAAGACCACGAAGACTACGAAGGCCAAGGAGCCAAAGGTCGAGGCCAAGACGCCGCCCGCGCCGATGCCAGTGCCCAGCGGGAGCCTCTTGGACGCGCTCGTGCAGGACCTTGCCGTGCGCATCGTATTTTTGATTCAGCTCGAGCTCAAAAAGACTGGCGCGTGCGTCGGCTGGCGAGCACTCATCGAGAAGCGTCTGCGACTGGCGGCGTTTGTGCCGACGGCGCATTTTGACGCCGCCGTCGCTGCCGTCGAAGCGACGGTTGTCACGTGCGGCAACGTTGTCGTGACTGCCGACGGCAACCTGCAGCTCGCACCCGGCGCCGTGGCGCAGACCAAGTACACACTCCCGACGTCGCCCAAGCCGGACGTCATCTCGAAATTGGTGACACGCTACGCCAGTCGCGCCGTGGCCGCTCCGGTTCCCCTCAAGACGCTTCAAAACGAGCTGGGAAACAAGCCCGTCGAGAAGCACGACCCAGCCAAGGCCGTCGCCCTCGTGCTGCGCGGGCTCGAGCGCTTGGGTTGCTTTCACGTTGATCGCACCAACCCCAAGAAGGAGGTTGTTGCGATCTTGCCGTCCAGCCTCGTGTGCCCGGTATCAAGCTTTGAGGACCTCCACTTTCTGCAAACGCCACCGGCTCCCGTCACGGCGCCAACGACAAAGACAAAGGCGAAAAAGAAGAAGGCAAAGCAGCCGAATACGCCGCCACACGTCGAGGCAGCACGGGCAGAGGTTGACACCAACGTCGACAGTGCGACTACGGTCGCGCCGTCCGACGTGCCGGCCCTCGTCGAGGCCTACATGGCGCTCTTCCTGGACGCGCTGGCGGAGTGGGTCGAAGGCGGCAACGACTTTCATGTCTCGTACATCCGCGGGCAACTCCAGCCGCTCTTGCCACCGGGGACCGACACGACGGAGATTGTCGACGCTGTCGTGGCGGCGCTGCGTCAAGATGCGCGATTCGTATGGACAGAGGCAAAAGGACACCAACGCTACTTTAGTCGGCAACCGCCCCGTGCTGCGTCGTCGTCCAACATCACGGAGGCCGAACACACTCTTGCCTAATCCAACACCAATATTCTCCAAATTGAAACCCCACAATGTTGACAATTCTCACAAAGAACTAGAACGTGTCTTTGGAGGAAGCAAAATGCGATAGCAGCGCTGCTGCCACGTCACTTCGGTGCTGCACATGCACGTCGTGGCCCGAGGCGGCAAAGACAATGCTCTTGGTTCGAGGGCCCTCCAGCGCGTTATAGAGCTGCGTCGAGTGGTCGGGGTGCAGCATCCGGTCTTGCTTGGCGCCGATAACGAGGATCGGGTACCCCGCCGCTTGCACCGCGCGCAGGCGGGAATAGCTCACTGTGTGGGATGCGACGGCCGCGTACTGACCGAGGACACCGCTGAGCGCAGGTGCACCCCGCGCTTGTCGCGCCATGTGATGCTCGTACAAGACGGCGCCGGTCGTCAGCTCGTCGGCACCGTGGACTGGCGTGCCGAGGTACTCGTCTGGGAAGAGCACGTAGAGCATCGTCGATGCGGCCGTGTGGTGCGACGGGAAGAGGAGGCTTGTCGCGATCGCCCAGTAGCCCGAGAGCTGCGCCCAGCCCGGCCACGGACCCCAAACAAAGCTTGGCGTGGTCACGAGAAGCGCCAGTGACCGAACGCGAGCGGTATGCAATGACGCGAGTTCTTGCGCGATCATGCCGCCCATGCTTGCGCCGACTACGTGCGCACGCGGCCAGCCCAAGTGATCCAGGAGCTGGACAACATCGGCGGCCATACCGGAGGTCGTGTAGCGGCCCCACGGCTTGTCGGTGCCACCGACACCGCGGTTGTCAAACGTCAAGAACTGGTAGCGCCGGCTCTCGGCGCTGGCACGGAAGGCCGACAGAAGCGGCAACCACGCTTCCTTGTCACCGAGAAGCCCCATGATGAGGAGGACCTTCTCGGGCGCGTCGTCGTCGCCGTGGAGCGCGTAGGCCATGCGCAGGCCGCTGCGTAAGGTCGCTATCTCGACGCGGTCGTAGTGCTGCGCGAGCGCGTCGTCCGTGAAGAGCCTCGTCAGCGGCAGGAGCTCCGTCGTCATTGCTGCTTCAAGATTGCCACGTGGTTTGTAACAGCAAGTTTAAAACACGATGACGCAAACACCATCACTCTTGATGCATACACTCTGCGATCTTCTCGCAGAAAGCCATGCGCCACACCAGAGCTTGCGGTGGGCTCCAGCTGTCCCCGCAACGAGAGGCCTACGCAAAGCCTATTGCTTTAATCAGAGCGATAGTAGTCTTGCAGTCATCGTACGTACAAGTCGGACGGCGGCGGCGCGATGGAGCCGTAAGCACGCAGCTGCGCCGGATGCTCTGGAACGACCTTGCCCTTTGTTGTGAAATCTCAACAGTATCTTTTTGGATTTCGAAGCAGACGCCACTGGGACCAGTTGCGCAATGCCAAGCGACGCCAGCGTCTTCTCGCCCGCGACGGTCGCCAAGCACTACCGCGAGACGACGCGGCACATTGTGCTGCCCAACGGCCTCAGCGTCGAGTACGCCGTCCACGGCGACGACGAGGCGCCCGAGAAAGTCCTGCTCATCATGGGCCTCCACTTTGAAAAGGAGGCGTGGCTTCCGCTCATCGCTACGCTGCTCGATGATGCCGAGCGGTCGCCTCGCGTGCAGCTCGTCTCGTTCGACAACCGCGGCGTCGGCGGCTCGGACAAGCCATGGGCATTCTACTCGACGTCGCAGATGGCCCAAGACACGTTGCAGCTCCTCGACGCCTTGCAGTGGCCGTCGGCCCACATCGTTGGCATCAGGTAGTCGACTCCATCGTCCTCTTTCAGCTCAAGTCAATCTGTAGCATGGGCGGCATGATCTCGCAGGAGCTTGCGCACGCGGCGCCACACCGCGTGCAGTCGTTGAGCCTCCTCGTGACGGCGCCGGGCTTTCGCCGAGGGCCGTTGCCCCGACTGCACCAGCTTGCCGGCTACTGGAAGTCGTGCGTCAACATGATTTTGCCGACGCGCGAAAGCATCACCGACATGCTTCTCTACGTCTTGTACCCCGACACGTTTCTTGGTGCGTCCGACGGCCACGTCGGGAAGCTCCTCCACGAGTTTCACATGCACCGCCTCCAGTACGCGCGCAACCAGATCAGCGGCGCGATCGGCCAAGCGACCGCGCTCCTGCGCCACGACATGAATAGCGACCGGCTCCGGCAGGTCCAAGGCGCGGGCTTCCCGATTCTTATCGTCGCCGCCAAGCTCGACCGGCTCCTCCACTCGGACAACTCCAAGTTCCTCTACAAGCATCTCAAGGGCCCTCAGACGCACAAGCTCGTCTTTGACGACACGGGCCACGGCGTGCACGTGCAAAAGCGGCACGAAGTCGCCGCCGCCTTGCTGCAGCTCTTCGCGAGCAACCCGATGGCGCAGGTGTAACCGGATCCGGATAAATGACGTGGCAGCGTGCATGGCATGTATTTGAATACGCAATGTTGCGTGTGTCGGAGCCGGGAACGACATTCTTACGTTCATAAATTGCGAAGACTCGAGGCGCAGAGAGCTCGGCATAGATGAGGTAAAGAGCATGCAAGGTGGCGGCGCGGCCTTGCGCCCGTGTCACAGACATGATTCTCTCTGCGAGATGCCATCCCACCTGTCATTTTCGAATTCGCCAAGGATGGTCCACGACGCGTCCATATACACGCCAGCATCGATCGCTGACATCTACAGCGACATCGTCCACGTCGCGCTGCCCAACGAGCTCACGATCGAATATGCACTCCACGGCGACAACGACGCGCCGGAGAAGGTCGTCCTCATCATGGGGCTCATGTCCGAGAAGGAGGGCTGGGCCCCGCTGATTGCGACGCTCCTCGAGCCCGGCACAGCGACCGCGCACCGGTATCAGTTCTTAACGTTTGACAACCGCGGCGTCGGCGGCACGGACAAGCCCGCCGAGTACTACTCGACGTCGCAGATGGCCGACGACGCGCTCTTGTTGATGAAGTACGTTGGGTGGTCCAAGGCCCACATCGTCGGCATCAGGTACAGAGTTCTTATTGGCATCGCCTTTGCTCACAAACGTCTCTAGCATGGGCGGCATGATTGCGCAGGAGGTCGCGTCGCGCGGCCCCGACCATGTCCAGTCGCTCGCACTGCTCGTGACGACGCCCGGCGGCGTGCACATGGCGCTGCCCCACACGCCGCAGCTGGGCGGCTTCTGGGAGCTCGCCAAGCTCCTCGTTGGCGCCGACGACCCGCTGCATACGATGCTCTACACCATGTACTCGGACGCGTTTCTCGAGACGACGGTCGATGGCAATGCGAATACGACGTACCGCGATCTCCTCTCGGCCTTCCACAAAGAACGCCTCGAACACACGCGCATCACGTCGTCGGGCAAGAAAGGACAGTACGCCGCATGCTTGAAGCACAGCATGAGTCCCCGCCGCCTCCGCGCGATCCGGGAAGCCGGCTTCCCGATCCTCGTCGTCGGCGCCGGCCAAGACCGGCTCTTGCACTTCCACAACACGGAGATCCTCTACGACCACCTGCAGGGCGAGCTCACGACCAAGCTCATCTACCAACAGTCCGGCCACGGCGTCCTCGTCCAAGAGCGCGTCGCGCTCGCCATGGCCCTCGACGCTCACTTTCGGAAAAACGTCCTCGTGTCGCAGTTGTTTTAAATCAAGTTGATATTTCATGACGTGGCGCGCCGCGGAATCGGTGTTATAGCTATGGCTTGAGTGAAAGCTTCTACAGTGCAGGCCAAAATGATAGGTTCAACCGTTTTTTAATGACAGCCGTTACAGTTTTCGATATTTGCTGGTGATTAAGGTGGCAATCGAAAGCTCTTGCCAAAAGCAATCGATTGCCACCGGAATTAGTGAAAAATGTTGAAAATTGGAGGAGAAATCACAAAAATGCGTTTTGGACCCTGGCCACAATGTTAGGTTCAAACTCCACTTGCCGCCATTTCACGACCTCTACTGACGACCGAAGGCGCGATATAGGCTAGATTTGATTCCTAGTGTATGTACGACATATAACATGCGCGTTTGGGTGACAATGGGCCGTGGAAAGCCTTCAAACTTGTACAAACAAGGGCTCTTGCCACCCATGGCTTCAGCCTACGACGTATCGTAGAGGAGATCGGCCAAGCGCAAAACGCCGTCTACCACTACCTCAAGGACCCCGAAAATTATGACAAGTGCTTTACGAAGGGCCGTCCGTGCATTCTGAAGCCACGAAATGAGCGTCGCTTGTGCCAGCCAGCGGCGCCTGGTGACTTCAGCTCCACGAAACTCGTGGACAACCTTAAGCTGCCCGTATCCAGGCTTATAGTGTCATAGATCCGTATGTCCTCTGGCATTTTCAAGTACGTCGAGATGAGCAGGCGCCTCGTTTGAAGCAGCGGAACAAGTATGGCCGAGTCCCTTGGGGCCAGAAAAAGGCCTATACAATAATGCTATATAAACTGTATGCGCCTTTTTTGCCAACGGCAAGACAGAGCTAGCGTTCCAGGACGACAACCAATGCGCCGACGGCTACGTCCAAACGTTGAAGAAGTACCTAGCGCCCTTCATGCGTCGCAAATTCCGACGTGGCGGCGCCTTCCAGCATGATAACGCCAGCATCAACACGGCCAGGGTGACCAAGCGTTTCGTTCAAGAGTCGAATTTGACCGTCATGGGTAGGCCAGCGCTCTCTCCCGACCTCAACTCCATCGAGAATGTGTGGGGGCTCCTTGCGCAACGCGTCTACGGCTTCGGCAAGCAGTACGACAGTGTTGACGACCTCAATACCGCCATTTTGGCCGCGTGGGAAGGACTCGACCCTGTATACCTCTCCAACCTTGTCGCCGGCATGAAGAAGCGTTGCCTTGATGTCTACAGGGCCAAAGGAGAGCCTATTGGCAAGTAAACGCTTTATTCAAGCTTCGATTCGCATCGTATTCACCATATTTCTGGCTTGAACCTAACCTTGTGTCCAGGGTCCAAAACGCATTTTTGTGATTTCTCCTCCAATTTTCAACATTTTTCACTAATTCCGGTGGCAATCGATTGCTTTTGGCAAGAGCTTTCGATTGCCACCTTAATCACCAGCAAATATCGAAAACTGTAACGGCTGTCATTAAAAAACGGTTGAACCTATCATTTTGGCCTGCACTGTATTGCAAAATGGCGCTACGCGTAGCATCATCCTGGAGGCGGATCATGGTCAAGACGGGGATGTGTCGAGCAGCTCTTGTCCCCAGCCGACTTGCCACTTGGGTAGGGTTTGCCAAAACGGGTCGAACCTTTGCTCCATGATCAAGGCCGACCGCATCAAGAGGGTTCTGAACGACCTGGTGTCGACAGCGACCCTCGACACTGCCGGTATCGTTGGCAGCATTCAAAGTACCGTGCAGGTGAGCGCCATCGTGGCCAGCAGCTTGATATGCTCACTGCGTAACCTTCGACAGCAAGTCCTTTGGTCGAGCTCATGACAAGACCGCTGCTTCTCGATCGCCTCAGCCATGGACCAACCGCTCAGTTTTCGATTCTAGTTGTCGCTGAAGAAAATGATATATACCTTCCGTGATTGCCGACAGCAACCTATAGCGTCCGCGACCACGATCAAAGCGCTGTTGCGACGGCTCTGGATCATTATGGTCTGCCCAGGCAAAGCCACATGCAATAGTTCAGACGGCGCACTGCAGTGGGTGTGTTGCACTAGCATCGCTGGTCTTGGCCCTCGCCCGTTGCGTGACGCGATAGCGTCGATCGGTCGCCCCGTGTCATCGACGCGCGTTCGTCATACGAGCCGTTGGTTGGCGTCAGTCGCTTGCCGTCGAGCTACTCGCTTCGGAAAAATAGGACCTACATTCTGTGTTGCAGATCCGCATGACATCACCGTTGCGAGACGCCGACGTGGTCATGGCCGAGGATGGATCCTGCAGTCGCAGTTTGCATTTCGCCGCCTTGAAGATGCTCGATGACGTGGCCGTCTACTCGCAAGCGACCGTGAAGGCGCTCTTCCAGGACATCCGCCACGTCGACTTGCCCAACGGGTTGCACATGGAGTACGCTGTCCACGGCGCCGGCGACGACGCGCCGCACAAGATCCTGCTCCTCATGGGCCTCATGGGCGAGAAGGAGACGTGGACGCCGCTGCTCGCGACGCTCCTCGACCAGTCGACGCACCACCACGCGCAGTACCAGATTGTGACGCTCGACAACCGTGGTGTTGGCGGCTCGGACAAGCCGTTCGTGCGCTACACGACCGCGCTCTTGGCAGACGACGCGCGGTTGCTTCTCGAGCACCTCGGCTGGACCCGCGTCCATGTCGTCGGCGTCAGGTACACCGATCCATCCTTGTTTGAGCATGCATCTCATCGTCATTGGGTGTAGCATGGGCGGCATGGTGGCGCAAGAGCTCGCGTACGCAGCGCCGCACCTCGTCCGGTCGCTCGCGCTCATCGTGTCGTCACCGGGGCACACGACGGGCGCGTTTCCCGGCATTGCGCAGTTTGCGACGTACCTGACGATGGCCAAGTTTGGCTTTGCGCGTACGATGCACGACATCGTCGACACGATGATGAGCACGCTCTATCCCAAGCACTACCTCGCGCAGACGACGTCGGACGGCCGCACGGTGCATGCGATGCTGCATCAGTACCACCTCGAGCTCCTCGACGGCGTCACGTTCAACTTGGCGGGCGTGCAGGGCCAGCACGCGGCGGTCTTTGGCCACAACATGAGTCCGGCGCGGCTTGAGGCCGTGCGCGCCCACGGGTTTCCGATGCTCATCGTCGGCGCCGCGCACGACTGGATTCTGCACCCGAAGAACGCCGACTACCTCTTTCTGCACCTCGAGGGTCCGCACACGCGCAAGGTCTTCTTCGAATCGTCGGGCCACTGCGTCCAAAACCAGATGCGCCGCGAGGTGGCCGCCGCGCTCCACGACCATTTTGCCGTCGAGCCTACCGCGCCGTGACGTGCCTTTTGTGGAAGAGTGCATTTTATAACGTCAATGTGATGGCGCTTGGAGCTACATGCTATGGTACCGCGTGTGTGGGTGTGTGGCTAAGAGGTTGAGAGGTACACGTCTGAACGCCGCTGGGTCTTGGTGTCGGTCCTCTCGCAGCGGCGGACATGATGGTGCATCCTCGATGTGAGCACAGCTTGCATGAAGAAGACGTTATGCTGAAACATGCGTCATAGCGTTGCAAAAGCTATAAAGGCTGAGAGAGTGATCCATCGGTTTCATGACGTGGCAGTCTCTCGTTGCATTGCATCGACGCGGTGCACGGCAAAGGTCCACAATAAGTATTGTTTCAAAGTGCGAGCTAGATCGTTGCTCGCAGTGGTATGTCTAGGTCAAAAGCCTGCTAAACAATCGCGGAAGGTTGATGGCGTCCATCCTGCGATAGCGCAAAAACCATGGCTATGAACTGTCGGGCTGTAAAGGCTGCGAGTAAAAGCTAGCATGCCCCGTCGCTTCACCAGGGAAAAACCTGCAAATCGCTTTTACGACGAGCGCAATGGCATCGCGACATTATCGAAACACCATGCTCTACAACAGCCAGCACATCCAAGACAAGGAGGCCAAGCGCCGCGCGCGCGAAGAACAGCTCTTCCGCGAGACCTACCCCGCTCTCTACGCCACCGAGCAGCGCCGCAAGGCCAAGCAAGCACGCACAGCAGCCAAGCCAGTGCCGAGCCCCAAGCCACAGCCCAAAAAGACACCAGTGACCCGGCCCACGGCCAAGACAACCAAGCTGGTGGCCAAGCCTACGCTTGCTCCCCACAAAAAGGCAGCCCCGGCTGCCACCACAACGCCAGCGCCAGTGCGCTCAACGGCGCCTGCTCCGAAGGCTGCAACGCTACTCGAGATTGCACTAGCCCGAATCACAGAGCTCACGACAAAGCTCGCTGTGGCTCAACGGACCATTGACGAGCAACACGCCACCATTGCACGTCTCCAACAAGCCACCGAACCTACGACGACGACCCTCGACGACGCAACAGACTGCATTCCAAGCACCTCGATGACATTGGCGCCAACACTTGTGGCTGATTCAGCCGCCGCGCAAGCTGACACCGACGCACAGAGCTCCGAAAGCAAGTCGCCAATGGCGATCATGCAGCAAGCGATTCTTCAGCAAGCACCGAGCCTCCACCGCATTCCTCGGACAGGCAACTTCCTGCACGCGCCGCCGCTGCTCTGGACACCAGACGAGCGTGTTGCAGCGATCGATACGCTGGTCCGCGCTATCACAGCGATCGAGACGGGGCAGCCGATGGTGCACGAGCCATACTTGGTCCTCGCACCTTGTCCTCCGGGGCGACTGGACGTGGCGCTCGAGTACGAAGAGACCTTGCTGCGCGGGTTGCTGGCGAGAGCCCACGAGTTGGGCTTATTGTAGCTAGAATACGTCGCAGTAGATAATAATGAAGTAGTCAATTTAACAAATAACAAAAGAAACATGATTTATACGACAAGCACCATATATATATATATATGAACACCAATCGTCGAGCAACGACAATACCATATATATATATACAGTATATGGTATTGTCGTTGCTCGACGATTGGTGTTCGAGCGTGATCACGGCGCCACGTCAATACAATGATCCAGTCATAAAATGGTTTATCAAATATCACGTTTGATTGGCTCATTTCTTCGCTTTTTGACCAATCCCGCGCGACAGTCTGTGCCATCGCCGGTCCTGAGGGCGACCGGTCGACCAACCCTCGTTTGAAAATGAAAGCGCCCCAGCTTGGTCGAGCGATAGAGGACACTATTTAGAGTACATAGGGCTATGCCGCGCCGGCGTTTGAGGTGTACAGCTAAAGTTATAAGCCAAAGTGTAGTAGATGCACTTACCACATATAGCCATATCTAACCACATTTAAAGTAGAATCCAATTTTCTGCGTTTGGAAGGCCTGTAAAGTCATATAGAATCGATGGTTGACGCGCATTGGCAAGGGAAAACTGTGCACCGATGTATAAATTTGTCATACCCTCGCTGGTGCCGAATGAAGCGGCTCAAGATGTCGGCGATCCGATCTTATTGATTTTCAGGGGGTTGCCTTCAAATAGCGTCATTTGCAGCGAATTCACATGCGTAGAGAACCTCTCACAGCGTGTGGAGCACCAAACATTGGTACATAAGGCCATCTCTGCATTTGGTCGCGCTATGGACACCCGAATGAAGCAGCATTAGATGTCGGCGATCGGAGCATATCGATTCTCAGAGGTTTTGGACCTGGCTGCCTCCTTGTCAGCGATTGCACATGGGTACCATGTGCTCTACAAGTAGTCCAAGTCCTCAACGCGTCTTGGTGGGTCGCGTCGCAGTCATTTGCTGCACTTGGTGCACAGCCCAGCCAATGCCAGAGAATGACACGGAGACTCTGTCTCTTGGATCATTTTGACTTTGGATTTTGCTCGGTCTTTCGCGGAATACCTCTTTAACATTTCGCAAATAGTCCAAGCGAATACACTAAGAGGCTACTAGAGTGACGATTGAAAGACATCATATTAGCTAGAAATTGGGTCAATGTCGTCGCTACAAGAGACTTCGCGTCTGGAAATGCGCATCGAGGGCCATTGCGATCTCGACGCGTTTCTCAATGTGGGCGCCATGGGCTGCGTCTTCGTAGATGATTTTGCGCGTCTTGGCGCCCTTGAGGAGACGTGCGAGGATGTCCGAGTTGTTGGGATGCAAGAGCCGGTCCAGCCGCGCGCCGATGATCAAGATCGGGAACCCGGCCTTGGCGATCGCTCGCAGCCGCGCCGCGCTCATGTGGTGCCGCAGCACCGCCGAGTACTGGCCGCACATACCTGTCGCTGTCGCCCGGCTGTGGGCGAGACGTTCCCAGTGGTAGTTGTACACGTGAGTGCCGTACGCGACACCTTCCGCATCCGTGCGGCTGAGGTATTCCTCCGTGTAGAGTACGTGTATCATTTTGGTTGCAATCTCGTGGCGCGAGGTTGAGAAGAGGTTCTTTGCGAGCTCCCAGTAGCCGCCGAGCTGCATCGGGCGGGGCGTCGCGCCTTGAACAAACCCGGGCGACGTCACAATGAGCCCGAGCGACTTGACGCGCTCAGGCGCCGCCGACGCAAGCTCCTGCGAGATCATGCCGCCCATGCTACCCACCGACGCTTGGTGACACAGTGCAATGGAGCGCTAGCGCTTACCTCATGCCCACGATGTGGGCGTGGTGCCATCCGAGGTGGTCGAGCAGCTGCAGAGCGTCGTTCGCGAGCATCGACGTCGTGTACAGCCCCGACGGGTGGTCCGTGCCGCCGACGCCACGGTTGTCAAACGTCACGAACTGATACCGACGCGCCGACGGCGAGCTCGGGTCCAGGAGCGTCGCGATCAACGGCAGCCACGCTTCCTTCTCGGCCATGAGGCCCATGATGAGAAGGACCTTCTCGGCGGCGTCGTCGGCGCCATGGACCGCGTACTCGACCTTGAGCCCGTTCTGCAGCGTCGCGTGGCGCACGTCCGCGTACATGGCGATCGTCGCCGCCGGGCGGAAGAGCTCGACGTCCGTGGGCATGGCTGGATTGCGCTATGCGGCAAATAACCAAACGCGCCATGCCGTTGCAGTATCCGTGCTGGAAGGTGCACTGTCGTGCCCCGGGGCACAAAGGCTAGACACACGCAACTGTCATCAAGCAAACGCGCACGACCTGGAAGTATGCGCCGAGCACGACCGTAAGGGCAGCGAGATGCCCATGGCGTTTCTATTGTCCATACGCACACGGCTTTATAGCTGTTCGCAATGGAGGTCGCTCAAGGAACCCGTCCGATTGGCGCAAGAGACCTGAGCAGTGCGATGTTGTGCGACCGACTCTTCATGGACCACGGGCGCATGGATACGACTAGAGTGACGACAACACCCGTCATCTACGGCGCGCGACGACTCGTGCCATCAACAGACGCATGCAAAAACGCGTCTCTGGGCTCGGAAGGATAACCCTACCCGCGATTCGAGCTCGGCGTCCTTGGCGTCTGGACGAGAGGTATTGCGTCCGCCAAAAAGCTTGGCACCGAAACCTGGTACAAGGATAGCCCTTGTGTTGCTGCAGAGAACCAAGACGTATACAGCGTCCTCTATGTCTTTTGCATTGGTTGGTCATGACGGCCCCTAACATCCTATGGAACAGGGGACCGAAAAGCCAACGTCGCGGGCGAAATCGAGGTACGGAGCGCACACATCTTTAGAGCGGGAAAGGACCATAGAATCCTAGCGTTTGGTCGTCAATCAAAGGACGTTCTACACCAATACACTCCCTAATGCATATATATTGTTGAGATTCATCCACCTAAAAATACCCGACGCATGCCGGTCAAGCAGGTCAAGGTCGGCGCCCGCCTCGTGCAAGAGATGACTGTGTACGTGAGCACGTGCCAAGAGTCGCGCACCGACAAGTTTACGACGCGCGTCTCCAAGCTCGCGACGATCGAGACGCTCCAGGCGTTCCTCGTCGAGCAGTGGCGCATCGCCAAGCACAAGCTCGCGACCGTTCCGATCTCGGAGCACATTTTCAGCTTTCAAGGACGCATCCTGCGTCACGACGCCCACCTCGACATTTACTGTACAACCAAGTCCACACAGTACAAGACAATAATGTTCACGTAGACGTTGGGAACGGTGACACGATCTTTCTGCGTCTGCCGGGCCACGGCCCCGTGACGACACCGTGGGCCATGTCCACGAGCGAGCTCCGGGAAGCACTTCAAGACCGGCGCGCGTACCGTCCAAATCTGCTGCCCGAGCAGCTCGTACGCCGTCGCCTTTGATAAGAGAGATGGCTATGGATGGTTGGCGTTAGATGTACCAGCTCCAGCACCTTTTACAGCGCGAGAGTCGACTGGAACGGCTTCAGAAAGCCACCAAACGTGGCGCCACAGAGGACGTCAAGCGCATCACACAAGAGCTGCGCGAGCTCGACGCGGAAGAAGCGGCGCGCGCAATCGCAACGAGCTCGGCGCTGCCATCGCGCCCGGCGTCCATCAAATGGCCGCACCCGCCGAGTCTCCGGCGCACGGTCTTCTTCTCGCTCTCGGCGCTCGAGCGCAGCTACCAGTCGATCCCACGGGACGTGTTTGAGCCGGGTATTTTCCTCCTGGACGCGCGCCGGGACTGGGTCTTTGCCAAACACAGTAGCCTCCAGAAACAACTATTCGACTACAAGTACATGGCGTACGAGAAGGACTTTTTGGACATGGTCGTCTTCAAGGAAGAGGCCAACCTCGTCTTTTGGTTCCAAGTATATTTCGACTACACGAGCCGACTAACTAACTATAGTTTGTGGTAGCCCGAGCACAGTCTCGCAGCGCTCTCGACGTTCGTCTCCAATCTTGTCGACCCGTCGACGATGCGCAAGTATGAGCCGTTGATGCTGGAAGTGCCTAAGTGGCTCACGCTCGGCGGTCACAACGGCTGGGAAGGCAAGCCGCGCCGCGACGGTCGAAAGGTTCAAGCCCACCTCAAACCAGTTTTTACGGCGTACTTTCAAATCTGGTATCGATTGCAATCTGGTCATGTGCACTACATCTAGGAGCATCCAGCGCATTGTGACCAACTTGGAGTCCGAGAGCTTTGATGTGATCGCGATCAAGGAGATGCTTGTGCAGGCCAACCCGAGCCTCCTCTTTGCCAGCGACTAGAAAAAGGATTGACTAATTAGCAAGAAAACAGGTAGTCGAAGAGTCGCTAGGCTGAGAGGACGACGACGCGGAGCGCGGCAGTGACGCAGACGAGCACCACAAGCACGCACACGTCATCAAAGAGCTTTTTGCCCATGCGAAGAATGTCACGGAGCATCGGCACCTGGCTGAGCACCATCTTCATGATCATGCCCGAGTCGTCGGCTTCGTGGTCGCCTGTCACGGGGACACCCACGATGCTGCGGGCGACCTTGAAGAGCACAGAGAAGAGGAGGCGAATCGCGACGGGGAAGAGCATGAGCGGCGGGTGCGAAAACGACGGCAGGAACCAGCTCGAGGACGCTGGCGCAACGCTGTCACCACGAGCCAGCGACGCTTGGATGTGGTCGAGGATCGTCACGTCCATCTAGCATGCAACATGAGGGATTGGAGAAGTACATAGTAACAAGTACCTGGTCGCGCTCGAGCTGCTGCTTGACCGACTCAATCGGGATGCCCTGCGCGAGGAGCGCCTGGACGGCGGCGTACTGTGGGTTAGAGAGCACCGACGCGGTGAGGCCTTCGAGGTCCAGCGTCAGCCCGACGACGATCGCGGCAATGAGAATCACGAGGAGCGCGCCCGTTTGCTCCATCTTGAACATGGTCACGTCGCGCGAGTAGTTGGACTTGGCCGTGTCTGCGGTGCGCGTCGGCGCCTGGACGGCCGTGGTCGTCGGCGTGGTCGAGGTCGTTGCCGCCGTCGCTGGCGTCTCGGGTTCATTTTCCTTCTCGACATTACCAAGGCGCTCGGCGACCTTTTCTTGCTGCTTGGCCTTTCGCAGCGCAGCGTCGCGGCGGCGCTGGGCGGGGTCCACGCGCACGGAGGGCATCACGAGCTCCTTGGTCGCCGCCTCTTCGTTCTCGAGCTCCTTCGCCATCTCTTCGAGCGTGTCATGGGCTGGGTCCTTGGCGGGCGCGAGCGACCCCGTCTGCCCCGTCACGTACTTGAGACGCTTCTCTTGGCTTGCGAGGATGCGGGCGCGGCGCTGGGCTCGGGCGTCGTCGGCCATTGTCGGCTTTGTGGACGTCGGGATTATGACCAATCACAGCGCTGGGCAGCCGCAACAAAATGGCTAAACCCACCGCACTTGAGCCCCCAGTGGACGGCTGCACGGTGACGTTTTCGACATGACCGCCATGAACGCAGAGCACAATGTACAGAATGCAGTCTATATACCTAATCGCGCCTGTGCGATGAAGGGTAGCGCGGTCGAGACCGGTGGCAAGGTTCAAAGTGGCGTGATTTTAGCTGCAGAGAGAAGTCATGGTGGCACTGCTCCTTGCACTTTGAAGCCGCGTGGCATGCACCCTAGGGCAGAATCCGCATTGTGTCCAGATCTAGTCTCGCGCATCACGCATGGCCAATGGTTCTGGAACGGTCCCGGCAGTGTCGACCACAAGAATGCTCGGCCGAACGATCAACCACACTCCTTGCCACTTCAACCGCGCCGATCCCGAGGTAGCACGGCAAATTGGTTCTGTGAAATGGTGCGTCACCAACTGCGGAGTAATGACCGTGCCTGGCTATACGATAGCTTACCCGTGCCAGATGCGGCGAGCACCGTAGTAGCTCTCACGTCAACCTTCCACGTCAGCCAAAGCTTTTCTTGGCGACCGCTTTGCATCTGATCAAACGCACGACCCTCGTACTACCGTCGTCTCGCTTCTGGGTCGTTCGTCTGGGTTGGTACCAGATCCAAGCTTCTGCCCAGCAACTCAGATACAACACAATCCGAGAACGAAACCCAGATTGCATTGAGATTACGGCAAACTGAGCTGGCTAACGGCAGTGTCGGCGCAGTCATCTACAAAGAGAATACGAGATGAGATGAGTGAGCGACAAAGATTGAGAGGGGTTGGCAGCAGCACGGCGCGACGAAGATGCGCGTCCAAGATGCGAGCGCATCGGACGGGTCGCAGAAGACGGCGCGTGCTGCTGCCAAGGTTAAATAGTCGTGTTGTTTTTGTGGGTTTCTTCTACTGTACGGGACTGGCTCACGCAAGGTCGAGCATCGCATCGAAGCGATCGTCTGAGAGGGACTGGATCTGTTTGTTCCAGTGGAGCTTGGCGTTGTCGTGCAGCGCCGACGAGACCATGTCGAGCAACGTCTTGTCGCGCGACAAGAAGAGGTGCTGCAGCTGCATGTCGTCGCAGAGGCCGCCGGCCTCGCGCGCCACGAGCACATGTGGCGACAAAATGCAGAGGCGGATGCGGTTGAACGCATCGAAGACCGCCTTGGGAAAATGCTCGAGGTACACATTGGCCGACGCCAGTTGCACGAGCTGCACCGCGAGGAGGCGGAGGAAGAGCAGCTGCCGCGACGTGCACCGGGCAGGCCACCGCCGCAGCAAGCAGCCCAAGAGAAAGTCGAGGCTGTGGTGCGGCGACGCCTTGGTCAGCGCCGTCAAGGTCGACACAAGGGCCTTGACGGTGGGGTTGGACCCGAGGTTGGCGCTGCCCGAGAAGGACGAGTCGCCAGGGTACTTGTCGTTGGGCGAGACCGTCGAGAGCGACCACGATCGGCAAAACATCGACAGCGACCGCTTGGCGCTTTCGTAGACCGCCACGTCATCGTCGCTCGAGGCAAGGCCGTCGTCTTCCATATCGTCAAACATGGTTTCCTGGCTTTGCACCGAGAGGTCGTGCTGGAAGCGGACGAGGTGGCCGAGGAGATTGACGATGCCCTCCATCGAGAGGCCTGAGGGCGACGATGCTTGGAGGTTGTAGAGCTCAATGCCGACAGCTTCGATTGCGTTGAGAATGTCAAAGCGCAGACCCGGCACCGTGTCGTAGATGGCGAGCAGGATGTCGGTGTGCGCGGCGATCGCACGCGCGTCTTTGATCTTCATGAACTCGTACGTGATGTGCTGGACAAGGCTTGCGTTGATGTACATTTGAACCAGCTTGGTTGCCGGTGTGAACGGCGCGGGCAGCTCCGTCTCTTCCGTGTGCAGCTGGAGGAGCCGCGCCGAGAGGTGCTGCTGGAAAGCGACAAGGTCCATGGTTTGACCGGGCTTGCCGGGCGAGCGCGACACGACGAGGTTGCGGTTGAGCTCCGAGAGAACGTCGATGCGCGGGAGGAGCGCAGTCATGAGCTCGAGCATGAGCTGCTCCCAGGCCATCTCGCGGAGCATCTGCGACGTCGTGAGCGGCTTGGTCTTGAGCGACTTCTTGTGCAACTTCTTCGACTTGCGGCCGAGCGAGCCGAACGAGCCGTAGTCGCTGCTCGGGCTCGGCGACATGCTGCATGGCGACCCGCCGAGCTCAAACTCTTGCGGCGTGAGCACCTGGCCCTTGTCGTTGAAGAGCTTGGCGCACTCAAAAATCGTAATGTTGCGGCGCTTCTCGTCCGGCGACGAGGCCTCGGCAGCGTGTAGCTTGGGCACGTCGACGGCGAAGAAGTCCTTCTTGAGCACATGCGGTTTGGGCTCGCGTCTCTTCTCCTTAGGCGAGATGGTCGCGAACGAGTGCGCCGTGAGCGGGTGTGTCGGGACGTTCATCGCGCTCTTCTTCTTGGCGACGGCCTTCATGCGCAGCTTGCGCATGTTCTTCTGCATGAGGAAGTCCAGGTCCGCTTCCGCGTCCATGGAGCGGGCTTCGTCAGTGCGAGGGGTCATCGAGGTCGGATGTCGATGCAGGAAGAGATGCTGGGATCTTCGCTGGCAGGCGTGGTGAAAATGAAAAATGAAAATTTGCGCAAAAAACCGTGCCGCAACTCTCTTGGAGTTTGTATACCACACGCTGCATGGCCAGTTTCACATCGTATTTTTTTAAACGCAACAAAAACCCTCCAGGATTCGAAGCCCACAACATGGCACTGGATTCCACCAATGAAACGCCGTCGTTAGGATTTCGCGGTGTGGGATTGGTCACAATCCGAAGTCACAAGAATCTTCTTCCTCGGCGAACCGGAGCGTCGTCGCCTCTCTCAGTATGCATTACCTCTCATTATCCATCTTTAGAAAATAGTATTTGCCCCCCAAATGCCTCTTTCAACCGATATACTGCGAAATTGAATATTGAAACCAGATTCGTCATCCAGGTTGCGCATGGATTATTAAGTGTGCCCGAGATGCGACACCAGACTTCAAATTAATTTCCATGGCGTCATATGGTGATACTGAAACCAAGTTTATCGACGCCGAGACGAATAAAAAACTTGAGGCGCGCATCCCGGCGAATTAAAATTGTTGACCAATACCGCGGCGCACGACCCGGGATGACGCAACACACTTTTTGTATTATTATAATATTTTTGAATTTAAATAATTTGGTTTTGAGCAGAAAAAAGCGACGCTGTCGTGCTGCCAAGTCATTTGAGCTAAAAATAGAAAGCGTCTTAGAGTTTGTATGCCGACCGGGACATGTGGGTGCCTTCAACTTGAATCTGGGATATTCAAACAGCTTGCGCCGCGGACCCACCTCTTGATATTTGTATGTGGCCCAACATTCGAACCTGAATCTTGCTTCGGAGAAAGATCGCGCATGGCCATCGACGAACTGCAATGTGAAAAGGTCGAACTGCAACGGCTTCCGACGCCCCGAGCGCCCCAAAGTGCCAACACGGCGGCTTTTGTGGCATGAAAATGTTGCTGTGGCTACTCGCTTCCATGCCAGCAGCCCCAGCGATCATCCCTTCGAACCAGGTCTTTCTTTTCTCTCGATAAGATCTTGGCGTAGTGTCTATCATTCTATGCGGATGCGTCCACGAGTCCACCGCGGACGTCCCAAGCGCGAATGCGTTTCCTTGTGACGTGCGCACAGAGGCGAGGCGTCGCGACTCGAAGGTAATGCTTTGACCGACAGCATTTTTCTGCTGCGAAGAAGTACAGTCTTTGCCGACACTCTGCAGACACGTCGATCTCGCGCGCCCAGCTTCCGCCTCTTTCCAGTGCTATCGAACGTTAGGGTTGAGGTATGCGAGCTTCTAGATTTGAGGTGAAATCGTTGGTAAATAACGCACTGTGTATTACTAAAGATATACACACGACAGTGTACTAGACGAGCAAGATCGACTGCAACAACTGCACGTCGTCGTCCGTCCACGCATCGTTGGGTGGCGTCTCGGTCGGCGCGCTGGCAAACACGTCGCGTCGAACGATGTGCGCTGGAGCCGGCAATTTACTGCTCGGTGCCACCGCGTCTGCCCACTCGAAGGACTTGGTCACAATCTTGTTGCCGCGCAAGAGCCCGGACATCTCGCTAAGCACAGGAGAGATGTTGCTATCATCGCTAGGCTTGGTGCAGAGAGGACTGCTAAAGGCGAGTGGGTACGACGGCAACACTGGCGCCGTCGAGAGAGCCATGGGCACGAGACTCAGCGGGTTGAGCACATGCAGCGTCGGGTTGAGCAACTGCTGCGCAATCGCGACCTGCTTCTTTAGCAGCGCTTTTCGCTCGGACCGCTCCTTCCGTCGAACAGCGTGCACCGACTGGTACTTGCGGTCGCTCCGGCGCTGGATCGTGTTCTGCTTGAGCCGGTGCTCTTCGCAGAGCGAGTGAACTTCGCCATTGCGCTTCCGCGTCCGCTCCTTGAAGCACTTGCCCGTCTTGTATTGACACTTGAGGTCTGCGCTCATTTCCCGCCAAATTTGTGAATAGTCGGTCGCCGAGTTGGCCGGTGCGACCCGCCATCTTGCCCTTTTGTCATCAACGGGCTATTTATAGCTCGCTCCGATCTATTTGTTGAGTTTGAGTTTGGTATTGACATAACCAGCGCGATGTAGGACGCCTTCTCGTAGCAGCGCCCCAAGCTGCAAAGCGGTCAACGCTGTGGCAAGATGGCCGCATCCGACGAGCACAAAGATATCTCGCCGACCGCATGTCCCAATGCACGCTCACTGCGTTTCGCATGCTATTACTCGCGCTGCTTGAGTTTTGAGTTTCAACTAGCCAGTCAACGCACTTGGTATTTGTATCATAAGATCTGAGCTGATAACCTGACGCACTCAACTCAACCGCCCAAGAAATCCAGCACACGACGCTCAACTCAATCCGACAATCTTATGTGCTACCGTCTACTGCGTACTGCACACAACAGCGCGTGCGAACAAACACCGAGTCCTTCGCTTGTCCAATGCATTTGCATTATAGGTTGCCGTGCATTCTCGGTACTATGTACAGCAGCGGTCGAGCCCGTGGGGCCTCTACATGCGAGGTTTTGAGTTTGAACGAAGTGGATCCACGTCAAAAGTGGGCGCAGTTGAGTTTTGTGCGAATCTCGCGCTCTCATTGGTCCAGGTGTCGTTGTTGGATCTCAACTGTCCGGATAGTGTATCCGGGTACGGAAGGCAGCTTTTTGCCCCATATTTCGAAGACGACGAGAGGATGGACAAGAACGTGCTCGCCCGCGCGACGGAGGACGCGGACGCGCCGACGCCGGGGTACCTCTACGGGGAGATCGCGCGCATGACGAACCACTCGTATGAGACCTGCATGAAGGTGCAGGAGTACCTCATCGGCCGCCTCAAGAAGAAGCAGCCCAACATCAAGTACAAAGCGCTCCAGGTCATCAAGCAAGTGTGTCGAGAAGGCCGCGGCGAGTTCCGCCGGGACATGCAGAAGCACGTGCCCCTCGTCAAAGAGGCCCTGCGTACGCTCGCGCACGCTACATTGCAGCGGCTAACCTAACGTCATGGATGATGTAGAGTTTCGCGGGCCGCCGGATCCGTTGAAGGGCGACGAGTACTACCGCCGTGTGCGCGAGGCCGCGAAAGAGTGCCTCGAAGCCATCTTTGACACGAACACGGCGCCGATGGCGGCGGCGGGCATCCAAGGTCGCATCAAGGGCGTCGGCAACCCGGACGCAATGCAGCCGCAGCCCTCAGGCGGCTGGTCCAACAAGCTCTCGTGGGGCAGCAAGGAGCAGGCGCCGACGCAAAACTTTAGCAACGGCAACTTCAACAATGGTCCGGGTCAATACGGCGGCCAAGGCGGCTACGGTGGTCCCGGCGGGTATGGTGGCCCGAATGGCTACAACGGGCCGACGCCGCCTGGCCAGGGCGGCTACGAAGGACCGGCGTACCCTGGTGGCGGCTCCAGCGGCTACAACGGCCCGCCGTACCCGGGCGCGGAGGCGCCGCAGCAAGGCTACGGTGGTCCCGCTTACCCTCCGAACGGTGCACCCCCGGCGCCATTTGGTGGCCCGCAGCTCACGGGCATGGGCAACCCGCTCTTTGAGGACAAGAAAGGTATGTACAACCTTATTGCAGTCTTATTTGACTCATACTACCTTAGCAGACAAGGGTTTCCTCGAAAACTTGAAGGACAAGGCGTCCAAGTTCCGCACGAACGAGCCCCAGGTCACGTTTGCGGGCGGCCCGCCGGGCTCGCAGAATCCGCCCGACGGCTGGAGCTTTGCCACGAACCGCGGCCCGACGAGCGGCGCGTACAACCCCAACGCCAACTCGACGTACAACCCGTCCGAGCCGTACCGACCCACCACGTACGGCGGTCCCACGGGCTACAACGCGCCCGGTGGCTCTGGCTACGGCGGCAGCAGCGGCTACGGAGGCCCGCATGACGATCGGTCGTCGGCCGCCAAGGACCTCAAGCAGCGTGCCTACGGTATTCGATCCCGACGGCTCTACAACCTATATATCATATCCGATGCTACTAGATGGCGACCGCAAGAAGGGCCGTGTCGGCGGTGTGTGGGATGCGGTGCCGGCGGCCGCCCCTGCGCCCGTGCCCGTGCGCCAGCCGTCGCAGTCGCCCGGCGACAAGTACCGCAACGAAGGTCGGTACTCGACGCCCGACTGGAACAACACGGGCGCGACGCAGCCGCCCAACTCGTACGGCTACCGCCGCCCGTCGGACCCGCAGCCGGTCGTGGGCCAGACGTCCGGCGCGGCCTCGGACGGCTCGTACGAGCGCAATGTGATCCAAGCGCTCTGCCCACCGGGCGGGATGCGCGCCGTGCCGCCCAAAGACAAGCTCGACGCGTTTCTCAAGAGCGCATTGACGCTGGACGCGGAGGTTGTCGGCCCGATCCTCGACGAGTGCCTCGAGAACGACGCGTGGCAGGTGGTGTCCAAAGCCCTCACGGTCATTGACGGCCTCCTCAACACGAGCGGCTGCGAAACCTTCCACGAGTACTTTGCCGACAACTATGACGCGCTCCAGCAAGCGACCAACTCGGAGAAGGCGGCTGTCCGCGACCGTGCGGTCAAGATTCTCCACACGCTCGGCCACGCGACGTCGGCGGCGCCATCCGAGCCCAAGCAGCGATCGGCGTCCCGCGCGCACCGGGGCTCGACGGCCGCGAGCACCGATCTTCTCGGCGGGTTTGAAGACGCGGCCCCTACGACGCCGGCGCCGGCCGTGTCGCTCTTTGAAGGTCTTCAGCCCGCGACGGCAGCGGCGCCGACGCCGGTGCAGGCGACGACCGACATGTTTGGTGGGCTGACCCTCGGCGGCGGCGAGGCCAAGCCGACGTCCTCGAACCCCGTCGCATCCTTTGACCCACTGCTTCAAATGCCACCGCAACAGCAAATGCCGCCGCAGCAGCAAATGCCGCCGCAGCAGCAGATGCACCCTCAGATGCTCCTCCAGCAGCAGCAGCAAATGCAATACATGCAGCAAATGCAGCAGATGCAGCAAATGCAGCAAATGCAGTACATGCAGTCGCAAGCGCCCATGATGCCCCGGGGCGCGATGCAGCAAGGCCCGGTCATGGGCGCGGCGATGATCCCGACCAACTACATTGCCAAGACGATCCAGGACCCGAACGAAGACGCGTCCAAGGCGTCGTCCGGCTTCAACTTTATGTCGAAGGACTCGTTCAGTTTTGTGCAAGATCACATGAAGGGCTAAGACATAGGACTAGAGTGCACTAGGACGTAGACGGTTTTGAGCAGCTAGCCACAATATACACACACATCATGCTTCCTCCTCGTCTTCTTCGTCATGTCACTCTCATGACCGTCTTCAACGATGTCGATGGGCGAGTTGACTGCTGGTACGAAGGGCTGGCATCCTTGCAGATGAGCAACGTGCGACCATACGACACGCACGACCGCAGACAGGCCACGCCATGCCTTGGTACTTCTGTCGCGCGTGGCCGCTTCGGGTCGGCGACCTCGCTCGCCTCTTGGCGCGTTGAGATAGTATGAAGCCAGCAAAGCTTCTCCGACACAGTTCTCGCCGGCGGTAGCTTGTTGATTGGCGGTGCATTTGGCACCACAAGAAGGTGCGAGTTCTCCGTTGCCGTCGGCGTATCCTTGCCCTTCGTCACTGGCCGTGCGCCTGGCGACCGACCTGGCGTCAGCTCTGGAGCTCGCGATGCCAGCGACACGCCACGTACTTGTTGCAGCCATGATCGGGTTGCAGTTGAAGTGTCAAGCACATGCCATTGGTGCAAAAGATCTCGATTTCATCCAATGAAATGCTGGGTGGACCAATCCGCAACGGATTGCGTCACAACCCAATTTTTGACGCCAGCCAGAGACTAATGGCCGGCGACTCGACGTACGTGGGCACGTACTCGCCCGTGACGGGCTTCATCTTCCTCTTCAACCTCATCGTCGGCGCCGGCGCCTTGACCATCCCGCACGCCTTCGCGCAGGTCGGCCTCTTCTACGGCCTCGGCGCGCTCTGCCTCCTCGGGCTCGTGAGCTACGTCTCGGCCACGTTTGTGATCGAGGCCATCGCCGGTGTCAACGCGCTGCGCCGCCTTAGCAACCCGCCGGTATTGACCAAGCAGGGCTCACTGACCATGATATTGAGTGGCGCGTCGCAGGCGGTCGATGAAGCCTCCGAGGCCGTCCCGTTCCTGACACACATCGAGGTAAGCACCGAGCGATTCTCGCCAGCTTCATGGACACACTATCCTAGGAAGAAGAAGGCTACGTCGCGGGCTTGCGCTTTGACATTTCGGAAAAGGTACCATCGCCGTGCTTGCGTAGCGTAAGGCGTCATGCGCCGAGTAGATCGAGATCGCCGCCATAGCCCAAGAGCTCTTCTCGCGCAAGGGTCTCGCCGCGTTCTACGCGTGCGTCGCGGCCTACCTGTACGGCGACTTGGCCATCTACGCCGTCGGTACGCCCTTCGTCCATGTCATCCCTCTCTCACATGATATGTAGCGATCCCAAAGAGCTTGCGCGAGATCATTTGCCCGCGCCCGTCCGCCAACGCCGCCGTGTGGGAGTGCCCGAACGTCGCAATGAACAGCGCGCAGCTCTACCGCATCCTCGTGGTTGTCTTTGGGCTCGCGCTCGGCTCATTTGCCTTTGGCCACATGCAGAAGACGCAGTGCATCCAGCTCATCACAACCATCATGCGCCACGCGTCGTTCGCGCTCATGATCATCCTCGCGTTCGTGGGCATTGGCCGCGGCGAAGGCCGGCCGGTCGCCGACGTCGTCGCGCACGAAGACATCACGTCGCTGCCCAATTTCTTTGGCGTGTGCATCTACTCGTTCATGTGCCACCACAGCATCCCGGGCATCATCGCGCCCATCAGCAAGAAGCGGTCAGTCGGCCTCGTGCTCTTGTACGCCTTCATCGTACGCCTCTCCTTCCCATCACCAAGCAGAACCGCATGCGGATATAGGCGGTGATGGTCGTCTACGTCGTCCTCTCGATCTCGGCCACGTTTCGCTTTCAACCTTCCGACATCCAGGTTCCTCTGCGTACTGCACATGCTGTGAGGCTCATCGTGGCAAAATGGGCTAGGACGTGTACACGCTCAACTTCAACGACTACCCCGTCCGCTTCATTGCGTACTTTCTGAGCTTGTTCCCAGTCTTTACTCTCAGGTACGACACAATGTCGACGTCGGGATGCCAATATGTCGGTAGCACGTCGTTCCCGATCATTTGCATCACGCTGCGGGAGAACCTCCACACGCTCTTCAAGGGCGCGCCCAACTCGCCGGCCAGCAACCGCCACTGCAGCCCGACCACCATCTTTGCGATCGCGGCTGTCGTGCCGCCGCTGCTCGTGGCGCTGTGCACCGAAGACGTGGGCATGCTGGTGGGCATCACTGGCGCGTACGCGGGTCTTGGCATCCAGGTACGCGTGCGTCGAGGGAGCTTTCCGGGTTGATGGACACGTAGTGGGTGATCCCGGCAGCGTTTGTCTACTGCTTGCGCCAGCGCCTTGTCGTGCTCCAGACGCAGCTCAAGCTCTCGAGCCTCCCAAAGAACCCGTACGCGAGTCCGTTTGGGAAGATGATTTGGCTCTATTTAACGTTTGCGCTCTCGGCGGCGTCGCTCGTCGTCATCACGTACACGCGCCTCTTCAAGTAATGCCACACTGCACCGATCGAATACTGCATCACTTGATATGTTGATACTTTCAGAAAATACGACGATTCGTGTAGTAATGACATGAGAGCTCAGTACGCTTTGGCAGGAGCCTTAGGTGGTGCTCTTGTCGGAGGCAGCGTCATCAGACACGGCCAAAGAAGGTGCAGCATGCTGCTACCGACAAGGAAGAGACCAAAGAGCCCGACCCAAAACGCCGCATCGCCATGGAGCCACATGCCGCCCAAGAGAATGGCGATCGCCCAGTAGGCAAGGCTTCGATCTTCGTCATGCGCCGACTCGCAGCCCGCGTACACGCGGTGTCGGGTGGTGGGCAGTGTCAAGGGCAGAGCGCGCGCCGGCTCGGCGAAGACGAGACGGCTCTGCACCTCACAGTCGACGCACGCGCGCACGCGGTGGGTGTCGTGAAAGCGTACGAAGCGACAGCAATGCATGCAAATGACTTCGCCGCAGAGGCGGCAGTGGTGCTTGCGCGTAAAGAAAGAGAACGACTGGCGGCACACGGCGCAGTGCGTCCGGTGCTCGTCCGGCACCCACTCATCGAGGTGGCAGAGGTACGCGACGCCGACGCGGCCGGAATGGTGCAGCTGGAAGCTTAGCACGGGCATGACCGATGTGATTGTGCTTGCATCACCGCACGACTGCCGTTGCATCTACTGGACGGCCAAGCCGTTGCCGTTGGCCGGTGGCGAGACCGCAGGGCTAGGGTTATCCGGCGAGGACTGGGGCTTGCCGTGCAGATCGATCCTCCCTGTGCAGCGCAAGACGCTCCGTCGACCCAAAGACTTCTTGTTGAATGAGGTAAGCTTACACCGGCAGTGTGGATACCAAACTTTGTGGTGGTCGCCACCAGATTGTCGCCGCTGGCAGGAGACGCATGGCGTGGCTTGCCGCTTGCGAAGCTGTCGTTGAGATGACACTTGGCCCCTCGGACGCGTCAAGTAGAGTGTCGACTGTCATGTGTCAACATAGCACAAGGTCGACACGGTCTGGTCGACGCTACGCACTATTCGCATCAGCTCGCCAACACAATCTCGATACGCCATCTGGAGTAGACCAACTAGTAGCCCACTGATTGGTTGACAGGACATTAGCATTCCGGACAGCAGCAGTGCGTTATGCGTCCGATCATGCGCGCGCTCTACGTCAAGCACAACAAGGCGGCCCAGGAGGCGCGGCATCGCGAGGAGGCGCGCCGTCGTGCCGTCAACAGCATTCGTCTCAAGCGCCTTCTCCGGCGCTTGGTGCGCGACCACCACGTTGCCCGCGCCAACGCGTTGCCGCTCTTTGATGACGGCGACGCGTGGTATGACTTTTCGCCGCTCGTTTGTCTCTCTCGCCGCGTGCCGGACGCTCTGAGTGACGCGTTGCAATCGATGCCTCGCTAAAGCCGGCTCCTGAGTCATCGCCACCGCGCTCTGTGCAGCCAGTGACGCCCTTTTGACGCCTGTCCGTCGACGATCAAAATGTTGCTGCCTTTTCCAGCGCCGCCATTGAAACCTTGATATTAACATACGATCCCATTTGCACGCGTATATATAAAGCTGCTTGGTCATAGAACTCGCCTGGAGGCTCTTATACCATTGATCGTCGCATTGAAGGACGCTACAGGGCTGACAATGCAGCGCCACTTGGCCGCATCGCTTTCAGGACATCGTGTGATTGGTTGTTTTTGCTTCTATTTTGGACCAATCCGACGCGATATTGCCGTGGTCACCGCCACTTCGGACAACGCGAGCGGCCCAATCGAGTCGGAAAACAAAATCGCTCAAACGCTGTCCAGTGATAGATAACACTTGGGAGAGTCTAAAATGCTACGTTGCGTTGACGTGCGAGCTCTACAACGAGAGATATGCGGCCTGTCGTTTTCATTTGTGGCATATGCCAGAATAAGCCACATTTACCATTTTTAACATCCTCCGCGATCCCTCCGCGGGATGGAGCCAGGATGGAGCTGCGTTTCGAGAAGCTGTCCTCTGTCGTTCACCCTTCTCACGCACTCGCGTGCTTTTGCGGCCCCTCTTTGGCCCAAGCGACCATGCACAAGCCAAGTCGACATCCAATGGTCGACAACGCGCTGAAGAATCATGAAAAATCTTGTCAAATCGTCAGCCTTCCGCCCAACGGGTGCGATACTAGGTAGCGCACGACTGCCTTGAATATATTGTACATCATAAAGCGTCTTCGTACGAGTGAGTAGTCTTAGCTCGTCAAGCCAACGGCGGGTGGACGCCTTTCTACCGTAAAGTTGCGTGCGTCTATCCGATCCGCTCACCCACATCAGCGCATCTGATCCCCACTTTGCCGATTGACGATTATGAACGCAACGGCAGCTGCGACGACCGGGACGTCGGCGGCGATCATCTCGAACGGCCTCCTCATCTATGGCCCGATGCTCCTCCTCGGCTTTGCGCTCTTTGAGTGTGTGCGCTGCCGGTCGCTGTACGAGGTAGCGCCCAAGTCGCCACTGCCGTCCGGCCTCTTTCGCTGGATCCCGTTCGTGCTGCGACTGACGGACGACGAGCTCATGGACAAGTGCGGCCTCGAGACGCTCATGTTCCTGCGCTTCGTCCGCGTCGGGAAGAAGCTCGCGCTCATGGGCGTCTTTCTCTCCATCGCGCTCTTCCCGGTACTAGTAGTCGCCGTGCATGTACCTTGGACATGTCATCGAATGGCGTATGGTAGGCGTACTACAGCGAGCCGCAGCCGCATGCGCACTGGATCGACCGGCTCACGATCGGCGGCCTCACGGACGGCGACAAGCGGTTGTGGGCGACCGTGCTCGCAGCCTTTGGCATCACGCTCACGACCATGTACCTCATCTACGAAGAGAGCGTCGCGTACAAGGAGCGTCGGCACGAGTTCCTCTCCAAGCTCGACACGCAGCAGTACAGCGTGCTCATCGACGACCTTCCGCTGCACTTGCGGTCGCATGCGGCGCTGACAAAGTACCTCGACACGATCTTCCCGCACCAAGTCGCAGCTGTCTACATTGCGGTCGAGTCCGGTGAGCTCGAGGCGCACGTCGCCGAGCGCATTGAGGTGCGCGCGAGCCTCGAGCACGCGCTCGTCCAAGAGTCGCAGAGCGGTCGTCGCCCGACGCACTACCAGTACGACCCGCACTCGATGTGGTACCATACGCAAGTCGACTCGATTGCGTGGTATAACGAGCGGCTCCACGAGCTCAATGACGACATTCGCATCACGATTGCAGCCATTGAGGCGCAGCAAAAGAACGGCAGCGTCCAGTTCAACGCCAAGCAAGCGCAGCTCCTCGCGACAAGAGCGCATTTCGAAGCACAGCCACTCGAGTCGACGCCGCTTTTACCCAAGCAAGCCGTCCAGCAGCAGCGCCAGCAAGTCGCGTTCGACCTCCACGTCGCCGTCGACGAGGCAGCCCACTTTGAGGTAGACAAGAACCCTATCCCTCGAGATAGTGAGCCTTGTGTAGCATGCGTCGAATGCCCTTCGGTCCGCCGCGTTTGTGGCGTTCTCATCGCTGCAAGCGACCAACACGATCCAACAGATCGTGCAGACCGCGCGACCGTCCGAGATGAAGGTGCAGGAAGCGCCGCCCGCCGAGGACATTGTGTGGGAGAACGTCGGTCGGCTCAACTACGTCGAGCGCAAGACGGCGTTGCTGCTTAGCATTGGCATCACGGGTCTTGCCATTCTGTTTTGGACCGTCCCGACCACGTTTGTCGTCGCGCTGGCGTCGGTACGGACGACACAGTGTCCGTGTTCGAGTCTCTAACGCTGTGTCATTGGAGTAGCTGCAGTCGCTGCGGCAAGTGATCCCGAACCTCGACTCGGCGCTGGTTCAATTCCCGTTTCTGCAGCCCCTGTTGCAACAGCTCTCGCCGCTCTTGCTTGTCGTGATGAACAGCTTGGCGCCGATGCTGTTCCGCGTCCTCTCGGTCGGCGAAGGCCATGCGTCTCAGAACGCTATCGAAGCGTCGCTCTTTACGAAATACGTAATTTGTCCTTTGGCGGACTCGACGCGGCGCCGACTAAGGGTACATGTAGGTCGCGTACCAGCTTGTCCAAGTGTTCTTTGTCTCGGCGATCGCCGGTTCGATTTCCGCCATTTCCGACCAGCTCGCACGTATCGCCAAGGAGCCGTTGGAGCTCGTGACGCTCCTCGGGTCGAGTCTGCCCGGGCAGTCGACGTTCTTTTTTAGCTTTATCCTCGTGCAAACGGGCTTGACGCTGCACGTGCACCTCTTCCGCCTCGTGGCCATCATCATGGGCTGCGTCTACCGCCTCTTGGCGCCGCAGCTCACGCCCCGCGAGACGAATGCGCCGTGGTACGGGCTCTCGCCCATGACGCTCTCGAGCAAGTTTGACATTACGATCCCGCTGGCGCAGCACTTTCTCATTTTCCTCATCGTCTTGACCTTTGCGCCGCTCGCGCCGCTGCTGGCGTACATGGGCGGTGTCTTCTTTCTCGTCTCGGACATTGTGTTTCGCCGGCTCGCGTGGTGCGTCTTCCAGCCGAGCACGCGCTCGACCGGCGTCTACTGGCCGCAGCTCTACTTGTACCTGATCACAGCGCTCGGGATCGCGCAAATTACGCTCCTCGGCCTGCTCACGTTGAAAGAGGCGCCAAGCCAAGTGCTCGCGGCGCTGCTGCTGCCGGCGATGACGGCGCTGTTCCATGGCTACATGCTCACGCTCTTCCCGCCCGTCTCGGCGTACCTCCCGATCGAGATGTGCGTCGCCCTCGACGACCACCGGGCGCGCCTCGGCCACCGCCCGCCGATCGACGCCGACTTGTACAAGCAGCCTGCGATGCTGGCGGCCACACCGCTCGCGCCCGAGGTCTAGTCACTCGCCATGCGAATCGAGCTGCCACGTACAGGCGGTAGGGCAAACTCGAGCAAATGCAACCTCACGTGTTATTGCTGGTCCACGGTCGTATCAGCGCATCGTCGTAGCGGTGAAGTCGCAGCGTGAGCGGACGTGACGCCTTGAGTAGAGCGCGCAAGAGGTCGGACGCTATCGCGAAAGCCTCGCCGTTGACTTGATAGACACGGGACCCGATGAGAACGCCGGCAGCAGCGCCATGACCATCTAGTCAACAGGAAGAGAGGCGTGTCATGTGGGTCGATGCGTACCAGGCTCCACAGAGGTCACGAGGACGTGTTTGTACAGGGAAGTCTGGAAGGTGCAGCCGACTTCGTTCGCCTCGAGGATCACGTCGTATGCGACAAACGGTCGGTCGATCGCAAAGCGGACGCCAATGGGTCGGGGCACGTCGAGGCTCTGCATGATCGTGTCAAACTTGGTCATCGGTGATCCGTTGAGAGCGAGGACGCGGGCGCCAATGACGACACCAGAGACGTCGGCGTCGCCACCTGGTGTCACCTTGGAGACGACCGTGTCGCCGCGCTCGTCCTTGGTCAGGCTGAGGCCGAGCGGCGACGTCGTAGACCCGAGACGCGCTTCAAACTCGATGGTTTCGACGGACGCCGACGCAGCACACGACTGCGAGTGGACGTTGAGGTGCGAGAGATGAACGAGGTCCTCGCAGAGCGTGCACTTGACTTGCAGCGATGCCTCGAGGGCCGACAGCGATCCGCGGCGGATGGCCGACTCGGACGATGCCCGCACTACAGGCGCGCTCGCTGCTACGGACGTGGCGTCGAGCGATGCGAGAGACGAGCGTCGGACGGGGCTGCTGCGGCCGGACGTCGGCAGTGTTGAACAGAGCGCGTCCAACGAGGCGGGCGGATCAATCCCGAGGTCGGCGAGCACATCTAGCGCTGAGAAAGGACACTCAGCCGCGTCCGACATCCTACGTAAGCCATGAGCGACGACAAGAGAGCGCTGCGATGCATACCGTTTGCGGTAGGCCTCGGCGACCGACGATGTGTACTTGTCGGCGATGGGGCGTTCAAAGATACCGGCGGCAAGGCACACGGTGGTCCACTTGCCGTTGCCGCCAGCTTCGAGGAGCGCGATGTCCCGCGCCGTCCACGTGTCCATGGAAAGCGACTTGACAAAGCTCGTCTGGACCCCCAGCGACCGGTGGACGCCGGCGCAGCCGAGGCAGAGTAAAACGCCGAACGTCACGGACGACCATTGCGGAAACACCTTGTTGCAGTCGGCGCAGCGCTACATGTAGCACATGAGCCATTTGTCGCCGTGAGCACGGTCGTACGTCGTTGCCTGCCACACGGCGCATGCTGCTCTCCTTGGACGGCGAGATCGGCGCGCCCGCCGCCATCGTGCCCCACAAGTTACGGATAACGAGCGGTTCGGCGCATTTTGCATACTCTATTCACACGCAACTTTCGAGCCGCACCACGTGGCTCGCCGTCGGCGTCGACAGCCTTGCGCCATTGAGCCCCCTACACGGAATCCATGTATGCTACGGCTTTGGAGAATCGTGTACGTAGAGGTCTACATGCAGTATTGTCAATACTCAAATCGCGTGATGCGAAAAAGGTTGGGTGCTGTAATCCATCCATCTCTGCGGCTGAGCTGCCATCGCCAGTTGCCACTTCTTCCGGTGGCATGCGACGGACAAGCGGCTGCAGGAACACGCGCGCTTGATGGGTCGATCGTCGTCCAGGTAATACGGTACGAGTAGATGGTGTCGATATGTATATGAATGGTCATGGCGTGATGATGATGGTATCGGCGGTGCCACTCGGCGATGGCGTCGGCGCGCAGGCGTGGGCGACGGACGTGGTGCACGCGGCAGACCGGGGCCTTGATGAGGTCCCGACTACCCTCCCACCCTCTTCCACTGCGGTCGCGTCATGCGACTGCCCTAACGTGTTTTTTCACGTGCTTTCTCACGTGACTCAAAAGAAAGTACGGGTCCGCGTGTCGCCACCAACGTCGCTGTCTGTGCGCTTGCGTCGTCCACTTCGAGACTTGGCCGCCGCGTCGAATGCGCATGGGAATCTTTGCCGAGCCCGAGTTGCTCCCGCCTAGATGAAAGGTCCGCCTTGCCCCATGCGTCATCGACCGATCTGAGCGTCGTCGGAGCCCTTCTTAGAGTCGTAAGGTGCAACGAATAAATTAGCTTGTCATGTCGAATCTAGCCCAATATCCGATCGACTTGCTTGGTGCTGGATGCATACTCGATACGAGCCATGCAGCCGAACGCAAGCGCCAGCATCGCAAAGAGAAGGAGCGTCACATCGAGCGGCGCCTCAAAGACGATGACGCCGCAGAGCACGAGGCCGTACAAGAAGAGCACCTTGGACTGCCACGACAAGCCCGAGGCCTCGGACGATGGGCGCGTCGGTAGCGCGCGGCTGGACGCCGCCCGCGGCATCGAGCGCATGGACGCGAGCCGGGGCATTGTTGGCGCCTCCGCCGCGTGCACCGAGAGGGTCCGCGCCGAGGCCGTCGCGTGGCGGAGTGTCGACTCGGACGAGGCGCGTGTGACTTCGTGCGTCGTCATGGCGCGCGGCCGCGGCGCGACGATTGGGCGGCTCACAACTGGCGCGGCCTCGGCCTCGGTCACCGCTTGTTGGTGCTGGCGGCGGCGGTTGAATTGCATCAGGTTGTGCTGGACGCACTTGTCGCACGTGCGGATCGACTTGAGCGACGACGTCTTGATGCGCTTGACCGAGCACCGGCCGCACACGAGGTCGCCACAGACCCGGCAGTTGTGCTTCCCAAAGAGCATGAGCTTCTTGTCGCAGCATGCGCAGCGCACGTCCTTCCCCTTGGGTGCCCACTCGCTTTTCGCGCAGAGGCGCACCGAGTCCATGCCGAGGGCCTGCGGCGAGACGCGCGAGAAGGGCAGCTGCCACGTCGCCGGCGCGACCGGGCCCGGGTCGCTGCCCCGACGATCGTGTCGGGCCTTGTACGACTCGAACTGGAGTGGTGGGATCATCGCAAGTTGCAAAATGCCATCGAAAGTCACTTGGTGTTTGTATGGACATGGGATTCTTGAAGCCGTTTCCAGCGTCAACAACCGGCGCCGGCGAAAAAACAAGCACGCGACACGTACAAGGGGTGCTGCGAGCACCCCTTTTTCGGAAAGGCCACTTGGCCCGAACGTCCAGACGCACAAGAGGCAGCGCCGACGACGCTGCTAATGGCACCACGGCACGCTCGCGCCTCGTCCATACATAATGGACTCTCTACTTGACCAAGCCGTCGCCCAAGGACATGAACATGGGGACTACAACCCGACCAACGGTGACGTCGTCGCCAGTAGACTGAAAAAGGCTTCCCCGCGCGTTCTCAGCTGCCCACCCGTTCCTTATTTGACGTTGCTGCCTTCGTCGCCCACAACCCCCGTGGGACGCTTCGCCTTTGGGGTTCTGAGCAACCACTACTCTTAGGAGATGTAGAAAGGGATGATGATTTTGCGAAGATCGACGCGCGCCATTCCCATCGAACGTCGACCACCCGACGCAGAGCGGACAAGGTGCGTCGCATGGACGCCAAGGTGATAAAGATACGAAGAGGTAAATGCGTGGCGCCACTCGTTCGGCCATGCGCCATAGATCAGCGCTGTCGCGATGCAACGACACGACGTTGATGACCATTACACGGCGCAGGTGGCGGTGATGTTGGCGACATGTGGCACCGAGGTGCGCTGAAGGTCGGCGACAAAGGCTCGTACGGTCTCGAAGAGCGCCTTCATCTCGGGCGAGTGGAGGCGCCGGCTCGAGATCCAGACGACGCTGCTGTCGGTCACGCGCACAAAGCACGAGAGCTCTCGGTGAATGTACTGGCGGTAACTCCGATCGCCCGCCGGCTTGGTGACGTTGTACTGCGCCTGGAGTAGCTCCTTGGAGGCCGTGTACGTACCGTCGACGCAAAAGCCGAGGGTCGCGACGAGCTCCTTCTCGAGCAGCGGTAGTACGCTGGGCATTCGAATGGGAAAGTGCACAGGGCAGATGAGCGGGTGGATATCGAGCGTACTCGCGCCGTAGTTCTCGGGCACCTGTACAAGAGCGTCATGAGCTCCCAAATACAAGCGTGGTTGCATCGTACGGGGATGATGTCGAGGCTAAACTGCTTGGCACGGCGCGTGAGGCCCGTGATAAAGTCGTCAACGAGCGAGCTCCGACACACGAGCCATTGGACTTCCATGTGAAAGCACTGCGTCGAGAGCAGCTCCATGTCGTAGCGAATGTTGACCCACTGCTGGCTACGTAGTACGTGGTGAGATAGATGCGGACTCGGAGAGTCTACCTCTGGGGCGCGTCTGGGGCGACGAGAGCGATCTTGGCCACGTTCTGCATGACCTTGCGGATCCCACCCGGGCTCTTGGCCTCGTTGACTTTGCACTTGTCGTTGACTTTGCACTTGTCATCGTCGTTGCTGCCCTTGACGTCCTTGCTCTTGTCGTCACCGCCAACGGCATCACCGCTTGCGTTCTTGGCGTCCGGGCTTCTGCCACTCGCAGCGTTGGTTGTGTTGCCATCGCTGGTCGCCGTTGCCGCCAGCAGCGGAGCCTGCGCCTCTCCCTCCTCCGCTGCTAGCTGCGCCTTGGTCAGTAGGTGCGTCACATCGAGGAGCGCCGCGTCGTTCTCGCCCTTGTCGTCCTTCCCGCGCGCCTTGAGCCGAATGTAGTCGAGGAACCGATTAAACTTGTCGCTGTAGTCGTGCAAGAACGCTTCTTGGTCGTCTTCCGTTAGATGCGCGAGGAGAGGGGGTAGCACGCAGTAGTGGCCGCGTTTGTACTTGACCTGCTCCGACATGTTGTCGTAATAGCCGCAAATGAGATGGTCAAGGTAGTTCCAGCTGTACTCTTGGGCCGGGTACTTGCGAAACTCTTGCTTGGACGGCAGGAACGTCTGCGTGAGCGGCGACCACATGGCGTAGAGGTAGTCCATCTTGCTGCCTACAGGATCACACTCAGCATCCTTGTCCATCAATAAGTTCTAGGGTGCACCTCGCCGCGTGCCATCGTCGTTGCTGGGTTCTATATTTTAAAAATAGAATTTCGAAGCCAGAGACAAGCCATTTTACCTCGTGCACGCAGCTGGTAGCGCTTGACGTCGATCTGCTGGCTCTCGCCGTTGTACGTGATCTCATGGATGCGGTGGCCCATGCTGAGCTTGTACACGGTCGTGTTGTCGTGCGTGAGCTTCTCTTCGACGAGCTGGAAGTCTTGCGAGAAGCGCTGGGCGACCATCTCCCACACGACCTCCTTGTACCGATTGGCCATGGCGCCTTCGCTACCGCCGACCGGGCTCGGCGTCACGGCGTACGGCACCTGCGAGTAGTGGTCGCCGAGCTCTTTTGGCTTGGGCATGAAGTCGCTCGTCAACGGCAGCAATGCCGGCACGCAGAGACTCTTCCAGTCCAACGTGAAGCTCTGCTGCTGCACGTCGTAGCGGTACACTTGGCTCCACCGCCGGCGGTTGCTGTTGAGCGACAAGGTCGACACCTGCGGCTTGTCCTTGGACGTCGCCGACGACGACGACATGGTCGACGTCATGAACTGCGGGCTCGTCAACTTGCGGGCCACGAGGCCACGGGGCGGTGACTGCGGACTTCCGCCCGGCTGCGGGCTTGCGTATCTCGCCGGCAGCTGAAAGTGCATGGGCGACCGCAGCGCCGGCACCATCGTCGCCTTGAGCTCGGGCGAGAGACCGTAGTTGCTCGGTAGCGATCCCACGAGCGTCGGTCTCGACCGAGGCAGGCGCTTTGGGTTGGCCAAGAAGATGCCACCGTGCAGCGGCGGTGTCGCGCACAGCAGCACGGGGGACTTGTCGACGCTCGAGACGGACGACGTCGGGTGCAGAGCAAAGACGTCGTCGTCGTAGTCGTCGAGGGCTACCATTGCATGCGGCCGCGTCTTGACGAGTGCATTGGAGCCCGTCGTCGGGACGGGCGATGGCGGCACGTGGGCGTCGGGCACGGGCGTGAGCTCATCCGCGACCGCGTCGTAGCTAAAGTGTCGAAGTAGAAACGCGAGAGGCTTTGGGCAGCCCGTCGACGGCAGCGCAAAGAGGCGGCAGTGCGGCAGAGGCTCAAACCCTGATGCGAGCTGCTCTTCGTAGCGGCTAAAGCAGATGCTGATCCACGCGGGCACAACCCCGGGAAAGACGGGCTTGGGCATCGAGGAGGACGGGTGCTTGAAGAGGAAGCGGGGCACGGGCTCCATGGGCGGCGTCGACAGCGAGATGACGTCAAAGCCAATGCCGTTGTCCATCATGCGCTGCTCCGTCATCTCAGCGAGGTCTTGGTTGACGCGGAAGATGCCGTTGCCGGCCGTGAAGAGCGCAATGTTCTGGCCGCTGCGGTTGAGGTCCCGGTCCATGTAGTGCTTTTCATAAATATTGAGAATCAAATTGAGCGCTTCGAGGACGTTGCCGTCTCGGGCACTCGCGGGGCGACCGGTGCCCGCGCGGAGCGTGTCGCCATCGAGCCGCCATTGGCAAATGTGCGGAAGGACGTTGAGCTCGCGCTTCATGTCGGTGAGCAGCACGGACGCATCGGTCGCACCGTTCTTGCCGTACGAAATGACCTTGTACGAGTCGTGGAACCACACGCCGTCGTCCTCGACGGCAGGAACATGGGGCGGCGGCGGCGCGTCATAGAACGTCCGCGCAAAGAAGATGATGGTGAGGCTATGCGACACGTGCATCGACTGCCACTTTGTAAAGAGCACGCTCGCGATGCGCAAAAGCTCTTCGGCGTACAAGTCGCCGTCGTTGGCCTACGCACAATATATGCATGAAAATGGAGGCGGCCGGAAGGATCGAACCATGTCCCACATTTCCGGGCTCACTTGGACAAGCCAAAAGACCCGCGACGACTTGGACCGGTACACAAAGCACGTTTTCGCGGTGAGGACGCCGCTGGTGACATTCTCATTCTCAAAGACCATCTCGGTGATCTGGAGTCGCGCGCCATGCATGCGCACCATCTTGCCGACGTACACGGCCTTGCCGACCATCGCTTGCTTGAGGTACCAGAGGTCGCGCCGCGAGAGGAACTGGTCCTTCATCGAGACCTCGACAAAGTCGACTTCGACGCGCGTCTTTTCGATGAAGCGCACGACCACATCTTGGAGCGCAGGCAGGCTGAAGAGGCTTGCCGTGTCCTTGAGGACGCTCAGGGACATTTTGCCCTTGACTGGCTTCCTCGCCTTGAGCTCGTCCGCCGACGGTACGTCCATGAGCAAGTGGCGGCGCGGTTCGTCGTGGTTGTTGAGCGGGTAGATCTCCATGACGTAGTTGTCGTCGTCCGGAAACGTGAGCTCGGCCTTGAGCGCATCGAGGTTCAAGACGAGCTCCTCGCCGCCGTGGAACTCGAGGCCGTGCACGTGCAGCTTGAACGTCGCTTGGTCCTTGATGACCTTCTTGGCGGCCTTGGCCTCGGTCAGCGGCGGCGTCGCCACCGTCGGCGTCGCCACCTTTGTGCTCCGGCGTCGGCGCATGGTTTGGGCAATTGGCAGTCTCAGCATAACTCTGCTGCGCGTTGATACTCGTCAGCGATTGGCAGAAAAGGTTGCAATTTTTTCATTGGTCCTTGGGCGCGTGTCGCAGGAGCTTGGCACAGCCAGCTCGAGCCTCGACCGCCTGGCGCACGCTGACGCAGCTGCTGCTGCTTCGATACTAGCGCCGATGTCGCTGACGCCTTCTCTCGGGTGCGACGAGGAGCTACCTCGCTGGGCTACAGTTGCGCTATGGACTACCAGCAGCAACGACGACAGCAGGCGCCGTTGATACACGTAGCCAGCCAGTTCTGCTGCTTCGTATTTCTAGCACGGTCGAGACCCGTCACATGCGTCCCAGTTGCTGCAGCTGTTGCTGCTCACAAGTGCCAAGTGCTGCTGCTGCCAATGTGCTGTGCCGCTGATGAGCGCTGCAAGCCATCTTGCGCTACTGCTGCTTGATGGGCTACCAACGACGTCGATGATACTTTAAACAGTGTTTGGCCACGCGAGTACGTAGCCGCGAGAACACTGGATGCAACAGCACGTCGAAGCGCCTCGTGGCTTGGGCAACTTGATACGGGGCAGCGAGGTGGCGCGGGATTGTCCGGATAATGTCCATCCGGAAACGGCAGCCAATGGCATCGCCGCATGGCACAGCGGCCAGAACCGAGCGAAAGATCAGCGCGATGGACAAGTTCATTACGCGGTCGCCCAAGGCCTTCTTCGCCAAGAAGACGGTAGCGCTCGACCCAAAGGCGCTCTCGAAGAAGCAGCTCGGGATCTTTGCCGCCAAGATCGCCGAGGCGGGCGGCGTGGTCGTGGAGATGGCACAGGCGGCGTCAGCCGACCTTGTCGTCGGTGCCGAGGGCCATCCTGCGTCCGTCACATGGCTCCAAGACTGCCTGGCGCAAAAGAAACTGCTTTCGCTCCCTCGCAAGCGGCCATCTGACGATGTAGCCGACGTCGAGCCCATGGCCAAGAAGGCCAAAGCAGCAACGACCACGGCGTGCACGTGGGCCAAGGCCGGATCGATTCTCTGGTGCGCCAACGTAGCCACGCCATCAACGACGACAAAGCGCCGCGTCAAGATTGCAGCCTTTGATATGGACAGCACGCTTATTACGACCAAGAGCGGCAAGACGTTTGCCGTCAACGACGACGACTGGAAGGTCTGGCACGAGTCGGTGCCCACGAAGCTCAAGTCGCTCGTCGAAGACGACGGGTTCCAGCTCGTCGTCTTCTCCAACCAAAGCGGCCTCTCCAAGGGCAAGGTTACTGAGAAAGGGCTCAAGGTCCGTGTACCGATCACATCTCGACCTCTCATTCGTGCGTGGCTAGGGCAAGATCGAAGCGATTGCAGATATGCTGGCGCTACCGCTGTGGTTCTTCCTCCTGCCCGAGAATGACATTAACCGCAAGCCGCGCACGGGGGCGTGGGACGTTATGGTACGACCACATGGTGAATTCGCGCACGTTCACGTCGTTTAGGTGTCAGAATTCAACCTCGACGTCGACATGACCAACAGTTTCTACTGTGGCGACGCTGCCGGGCGGCCCAAAGGTACAATCCTAACGTTTATTCCTTTCCCAATTATCAGTTCTTAGCGACGGGCAAAGCAAAAAAGGACTTTTCGGCCGGCGATTACAAATTTGCCCTCAACCTTGGCGTGCCCTTTTGGACACCCGAGCAGCTGTTCCTCAACTCCAAGCTGAGCCTCCACTGCGACCCGAAGCTTCGCGACCTCGGGTTCGATCCCCGCTCGCTCTTCCAAGGTAGAGACGTATCGCGGTACATTTCTGATACATTTGTAGACGTCCAAGCCGTCGATGCGACGTGCCGGCCCTCAGACGCGACCGAAATGATCGTGCTTGTCGGTAGCCCGGCCGCGGGCAAGAGCACGTTCTGCCGCACCTACTTTGGCGGTGCACCTCGCTCCGAGTTGCTCGGCTTCTCATCGAAACGTTAGAGTACATGCGCATCAACCAAGACACGCTCAAGACGCCCGCCAAGTGCAAGCAGGCCGCGCTCGAGAGCCTTCGTGACGGCAAGAGCGTCGTGATCGACAACACCAACCGCGACGTCAAGGTAGTCGGCGTTCCTTTTTGGCTACCTCCCATCGTACTACTACGGTAGAGTCGAAAGAGCTGGATCGAGATGGCCACGGCGGAGGTACCAGGCGGACAGTTGCATACGCTGTGTGCGATGGAGGAGACTAGGGGGTCTCGGTGCGCTGTTTTTACCTCGACCTACCCAAGCCGCTCGTCTTCCACCTCAACGCCTTTCGGGCGCTCATGAAGCAGCTGCACCCAGACGCGGCCGAGCACAAGTCGGACGTGCCCGATATGGTGATTCACGGCTTCTTCAAGAACCTTGTCCCGCCCTCGGTACGTGGCAACTATCAAGGTTTCAAGATTGCAAGGTGTCCATTCATGTCGGTTAGGTCGACGAAGGCTTTGCGTCCGTCGTGCACGTGCCGTTTTGCGCCGTGCCGTCGCCCGAGGACAAGCTATTGACGTCGTTCCTACTCTAGTGCGACGGACGACACACCTCTCGCAAGAGAGCGGCTTCGGCGGCCATGGTATCGAGCGTACGGGGCACGCGGTCTTCGTCAAGGTCCATGGTGCGCCGCTGGTCGTTCTTCTCGAGCTACACGAGCCATTTATGAATCAAGGACTGCGATGCGTC